TTAATGTACAAGGACTATGAAAATACAAGTGCAGAAATATGGCGAAGAAAAGACTCAATTAAGTACAAGTAAAATAAACAACATGGCTTTTGTTTCTAGAAAAAAAGACATTCATTAGGTAAGTGAGGGTTATAGGCTGAAAATTAAATTTATAGGAAATGTCCAATTTTGTTTTGCTGCTCCAGGAGTTTCTGTCAGTTCAGGCAGTTAAATTCAAAGTAATACCACAAGAAGAATTCCTGGCAAGCAAACATGCCCAATCTATATAGCTAAGAACTAAAAGAGAGTCTGTATGGAAGACAAATACATCTTTCTATTATTTCAGGCTACAGTAGGTTGTATATGAATATATAGTCACCAAAAGGAGAAAGGAAATATCTTTAGCTTTTTAGGATTTATTGAGGCAAAATGAAACTTGCTTATTACTGGCTTTGTACCTTTTACCTGCATTTTAGCTGTGATTTATAGCAAAGAAAAATTTCCAATTTATTATATATTCCTGGCTTATTATATATTATTATATATTCCTGGCTCTTTCTTCCATAGGACCTAGTTTTGGATAAAATCAAATTTTTGTAAATGGAAAACATTGATCTATCCAAACTTTCCTGCATTTAAGGAGTCCCAAGAGAAAAGCCATTAAATCCCTGTATTTCCCCCTTCTGCCAAATGTGACTTTCTTTTTATAGATACCTGACACAGTCAGCTGATAGTTTCATTTTCTAGCCATCTTCTGTAGAGCAGCCTTGTGAAATCGGAGCCTCCATCTGTAGAGCAGAGAGATAGCTTGGATGTGTATTGCTCTCCACTGGTTTCAGGGGACTAGCATGCAGGTCTTTTGACCACTGAGCACCAGAGCTCCAGTTTTGCAGGTGATAGGAAAACATATCATGACTATTCATTGTTGTAATGTAATAGTAAGAGATGCTGAAGAGCCTCAGCTGCTATACCGCAGAGCTGTTAGCTCTGGTGGACTCCCATACCTAGTTAAACACTTGGTTAAGGGGGAAGGGGCTTTATGATGCTGAACAAGAAAGGGAATTGGCACAGTTATGTCAGGTGGAGTGGATTAAACAGTTGCAATGCAGTCAAACATGGCATCTCAGCTCCTAATGCACCACCTTGTGAAGAGAGCTTTAGGGGGGATAGATTTTTCAGGCTTCTGGTTAAACTGAAAATATTGAAGAGGTGGAAACACCAAATTGCTTCATCGTTGAGGATTTAATTTCTTGACAAATGAAAAATTAGAAAAAAGATATACGAGGAACTGTGTATCCCAGCTAGGAAGTACCATTTTTGAGGCTTAAAAAATATTGTGTAAACAATGTAGGCAACTATGAATATTGGCAGAAAACTGAAGCAGAGGTTTTGTGGTATTTTTAGAATACATTAGTACATGAAAAGCTTTATGTTGATTTATTTCAATGTATTGTTCCTGATCACAGCTAAGGTTACATTTGCATGGCACAATCTTGTACCCTGGTGACTACTTTCAGTTCTGAATGGGTTCACTTCTCAGGATAATGAGCTCAGACTACACTGCTTCTGGTATCTAGGTTAAATTGGGTATTATTATGTGAAACTAGCTACGTACCATACAGACATCTGAAATGCTCTGTCATCAAAATCCAGTTGGGCTAGATAATGTCTCGGAGAGTGTGTGTTTGCAAAAAATGTCTATATTTATATATTTATTAGACACTGAAAATTCTTTAGGTTTTCTGGGATTCAAAACTCAGTATTCTAACATCTCATTTTTATTTGCCTTTAAAAATATCATTGCCACTCTCTGCTTTACCAAAACCTTAAATAAAATAACTTACATTGAATGAAAATTGTAGCTTAGAACCAGGAGGTATTTGCAGGTTTTGAAGTGTTATTGATAAATGCAGTGTTAATGCTCTGACAGATATAAGCTTATGAGTAAGTTTTTTTCTAAATAGAGCCACCTCTTGAATTTCCTTAGTTAATGTGAATTGGTGTTTAATGTTCAGGGAGATTAAAACTGGCAGGCTGGGATTCCTCTCATTTTTCTGTTTGTGATTCTGGTACTGATAGCCTAACTATGAACTTCCTTATGCAGGGCTGCTAGGAACTCCTAGTCAGATAGATGAGTATTTCTAGAAATAAAAAGTAATTGAGTCTCAGCATTTACAAATGGCTTGTGTGCTTTTTGAAAAGACACCACCATCTGTATTGTGTTGAATTAATTGCGCTTATTTCAGCAGTATGCATGTCTGTCCAGTTAGAGCAGAAAATAACATTTTAATTTCAGGGTTGTCTGTGGGTTGATTTTTAGCTCACTGGAAACAGGAAAAGCACTAAAACACTTGCTCTGCTCTTATTAAGTTTTCAGTCCAGAATTGAAAGGAGTATATTCATAATGTGTACATACCTCTCAGTATAATCTGTGCAGACTTTGACCTGAAGTACCTTGGTCCTTAATTGGCAACCTATGTTCAGGTACCCCATAAGGAACTCTGCATTAAACAGAGTTGAGATGGTGATGTTTCTGGTGTCTTTATTAGGGCAAGAAAAGCTTCTGCTGTTCTGTGAAGTAGTACACAAATTCTTTCAGCTCATTAGTACACGTGGATATTTCATATCTGAGAAGGCTTTTGGGGATTATGCCAAAAAAGTCCAGCGGTATTGTTTATTCAGGGACAGAATTGAGAGTCACTGCTTTATTGTTATCAGGGCCAAGATGAGATGAAACATTTTAACTTTCTGGGCTAACAACTCCCAAATGTATTTCTCGAAAGATTGATAAAGGGACAAGGAGATGGTGTGGCTTTGACCGGATGTGGACTCAGCTGTGTAGGATCAAAGTGGGAAAGCTGCCCAACTGTGCTCCTGAACCATTCACCTGCTGGGTCAACTCATACTCATGGAGATCCAGGCTCATTTACCCCCCATGTTTCTTCTGGTTCTGCCTCCTCAGCAAATATGTATTTAAACCAAGTACTTGAGTAACGTTCTGTGTCAAAAAATAGTGCATCAACACAACCCAATGACAGCCCTAAGTGCTGGGAGATTGAAATGTCTTCTTTCATAGGATAAACAATATAGTTTGCTTCTGGAATGCTTGTCTTCTCTGATGAAAGGTTCATACATAGTAAAGGTTGTGTATGTCAAGTACTGCGCTTCTGTGAACAATTTAGTTATTTTAATGTTGTTGCATCTTCAACAAAATAGCCTCATTTTTAAGGCTAAATCTGAACCGAGATGTGAAACGTCCATGCCGGGTGGGTGGAAGTAGAAATGTGGAGCTATGCAGCATTTCCTTACAAAACTTGAATGAATTAGGTACTTCTCTGAAGAAGCCATTTTTCCTCTTTGTATGCATATTAAGTTATCTATAATGCAGTAAGAAATTCTAATTCTGCCATGCCCCGTGTGCCTGTAAATACTATGTATACACATCTTAGCACTCCTTTACAGTGTTTTTTTTTTAAATTCTGTACAATTGGATTTTGTTTAATCTGTGCTGTTTCATACCAGAACAAATGACTACGGATTATTCCATTATATGTAGTGGAAAATGGTTCAGAAGTGTCAGTTTGGAGATTTGGTCAAAAATGGACGATTTGTAGGTGAAAAATAATCTTTAATACAACACAGTTCATGATTGTTTTGGGGATGTAAAGCTCAGCATTTTAACTAGGCCTTTGTCAGATTAGATTCAGTATTTTTAGCATAGTTTTAAAAATGTTGTAAATGTACACAAACATTCCTGCTGATTCTAGATTATTTATTGCCTCTTATGGAAGTAACTAAAGCTTCTTTCTCATGCCTGGAAGTGTTCAAGGCCAGGTTGGATGAGCAACCTGATCTAGTGAGGGGCACCTTTGCCCTTGACAGTGAGTTAGAACTGGATTATCTTTATAGTGCCTTCCAACCCAAGCCTTTCTATAATTCTTCTTGATCTGCAGGCTATTAATTGAATCATAATGCACTTCTAAACCATGCAACTCTTAAATAGTCCTAACAAATTCTTGCCTGAATTATATCTGGATATATTAAATTTTCAGGCTTGTTTTATTGCAGAGTGAATTTTCTCTGATAGTATTCAGTTTTGAGGAGGGAAAAAAAGTGAAACAGGTTTCTGTGTCCTATAGTATCTTACTGCATCTATTATGCGAAAAGTGGAATTTTGAATACCTTGTGTACAATTAGTTGATTCTGTGATATTTCCCCCTCTGTGCATAGTGATATATTTTTCTTTAATATGATTATATTAATCAAGTTAGAGCAGCTGTCTTGAAATCCTTGTATTATGGAAGCTACATGGGACATAGGGCATTCGAATGCTTAGTTATGTCTGACCCAGATCATGCAAAAACGAGAAAAAAATTAATTGTATCCAAGCAGTTACGGATAGTAGAATGGAATGGAATAGAATATTTCAGTTGGAAGGGACCTACAGTGATCATGAAGTCTAACTGCCTGATCACTTCAGTGACCAAAAGTGATCTTGCAGATTTTTATTATGCAGAAACCAATGCAGGGAAACCAGAATATATGAATTTTATTCATATAAATAAAACATCTCTTACGAGATACAATGTAAGCAGGTTAAAAAGCTGAACACTTCCCTTTTCCCCCCAAAACATGAACAGTTTTGACTTTGTCATTTTGACCATAATTGCTTTCTGGTGCAAAAAATAGCAAAAGATTTCTCCATATGCAGCCAGCTTTGCAGCTACTAATAGCATTTCTCTACTCTCTTAAATATTTTTCAATGTCTTCACTTAAAAAATTTATTAAATGTAGGAAGAGAGGGGAAATTGTCTGCACTGAAAGAATAGAGTATTTGCGTTACCATAACAAAAATCCCAAAGTGAAGCCTCAGTGCTGCATTTTTGTTTGGCACTTTTGTAGGTGCTCTGTCTCCTTAATATGTGGTCCTTGAAATAACGTGAGTCTGTTTTTTAGGAATATATTTGTTATGTCCATAACCTTCAAAACCAACCTATTACTGTGAATATGCATCTTATAAGACTAAACCACCCTGAACTCCAGAAGCAGTCAGCATAAATCACAGGTAATTCTCATCTATACAAACCAGACTTCTAGGTTTAAACCTAAACTTCAGCAGTGCCAATCCAAACCTGAACTTTAGGAGTTTATATTTGAGATTAGAATGGAAAGTCTTGAAGTTTTCTGTGCCATTAATGTATAAAGAATTCTATCTCTTGTTTTAGGCTGAAAGCAGTTTGTGCCTTTGTTCTTAATACTTTTTTTTCCATATTTTCAAACTTTAACTGTGTCAAATGTTTTATTTTTTCTCATCTTTGAAATGTTTCTTTTTCTAAGGAAATGTATGTTTTTGAATAAGCTCTAAGGATGTTGTTTTTAAGTACTTAAAAGTCTTTGAAGTTTTTTTTTTTTTTTTTTTTTTTTTTAAGGAACACACATTCCTTACATCTTTGCCTGATTGCAAAGCTGTGTAGTGGTGAATGACTTTTCTAGATAAAGAAAATGAGAAATACACAAACTACAATTTGGAAAGAGAAATTATCTTAAAATGCTGGTTCCTCCAACTGATCCTATAATACCTCATTGCTTGTTTTACAGAAGTAAATATTCTGCACCGGTTGACATAAGGATATCTTTCAGTTTCATTGCAGCTGGAGTCAGTGACTTCATACTGAAAGAGGCTGGTTTTGAGACTGCAGACCATGGCAGTTTGTAACAGTGAAGGAACGTACATGTCTGTGTGAATACATAGCCACGTACACTTGTAAGTAATACAGACTTGTCTGTATCTATATATGCGCAGGTTTGAACTGTAGCTGAGATGATATGGAAAGTATTTAAGGAATTTTATAAGCTTTGCGGGGAAGAAGTAATTCTGAAAAATGTACTAGCAGTTACACCTACTGGCAAATGAGAAATGGCTTTAACAAATGGCTTTTTTTTTTTAATCAAAAAGCTCTATTATTGGGCAAAAAAAGTTTTGTGATAACAGTTTTGGAGTCGTTGATGCCTGGTATCTTAGAACTGGGCAGTGTTACCGCAAACTTAGACTCAGTATTCTCCTTTTAATCCTGTTAATTTTACTAAGTTACTTATGTTGCAAATTAACTGCATCACAGTACTTTAATTGTGTTCATAGTAATTTTAAAAATAGTTGATGGGGATAGGTCATTTAATTATATTTTATCAGTAAGAAAGTATTAGCTCTGCTGTGACTGATAGCTAGCAAGTCCATCTGCAATGCTTTTCAGTTCACTCACACTGAATTGTTCAGATAAAGACTGTCAAGTGCTGCCTAAAAAAGGAAGGAGCCGTGGTGGCATTAAGTGCAGTAGAGGACACAAATCCAGGCATGCTGGAGGATCTGAGCTGTTTCAGCCAGCACTGAACCTTTTCAGAGTTTTCATTGTTGTTTCCTGCAAAGTATTAAAATGCGAGTGTCTGTCATTCAGGACCTCAGGGAGGATGAAAATGAAAATGGAGAAGAAGAAGAAAAGGTGAGTTAAACTCAATAGCTTTTAAAAGTGCTTACTTCCTTCTGTAGTTACTTTTCAGGACGATAAACCTTGAATGACTACCTTTTTCCTACAGGTCTTCCTCAAGCCTGTTATTGAGGACAGAAATATGGAACTGGCCCGAAAATGCAGTGAATTAATAAGTGATGTAAGTGACGGTGACTATTTGCATCCTTATATTTGAATTTCTTTTTTCAAGTGTGTTTATATTTATGATACATATTTTCTCAGATATTTGCATTGTAGCATGTACCCATCCAAGGCTCAGATATAAAAGCACACAAAGTAATACAAAAACACAGATTACTCTAGTACCTTAAGTTATCAGCGACAGAGGGATGAGCTTTTCAGAGCACTTCAATGATATGAAGCACAGACCCTAGAAAGGAGAATATTTCAAAATATGTGTGTCTGGCATCTGCCATAAGAACACCTTGGCTGCTTTCATCAGAAAAATGCAATATTTTTTCTGGTTATAGCCTACTCCTATGCAGTTTGATTGGTTTGAATAGAACTTACATCCTGTAAGGAGGGAGGTTAAAAATGAATTTTGAATGTTACTGCTCAGAATATTGTTACTGTCTATGCTTATAGGACAAATCCATTGAAGTGCTAGAATATCTTCAAAAATCATTTAACTAGCTTATTCTTGACTTAGTTACTGTAGATTTTTAAAACCGTTTATCAGTTATAGACATTATATAAACATCATAGATCAGATCCAAGACATTACTGAGGAGAGAGTGAGTTTAGAATATTCTAAATAAACTGAAAAGTGATGTCAGGCTCATGTTGTGTTGTACTCTATATGTAGATTTATTATGTTGATTTTCTGGGAATAGAACATACAGAATCTACACTTTAGGTATAAATTTTTAGGGGTTATATATCAGAAAAAAATAGGTAACTCAGAAGAACAGGATGTGTAAGTGTTACAGTGCTGGCTTGAAAGGGTGACTTGACAAGGTCAAAGTTTCCTCTTTGTCCATATATTGTCTATTGCAATTGTCACAGAAAGAGTGCTGAAAATTGGATACATCCTTAAGAGAAGCTACCAAGATGGCTCCCTTGTAATCTCAATCTACTTTAGGAAATAGTAGAGATTAATTTTTTTTACTAATAGCCATCTACATGCTTTCTTTGGGAAAAAATGGCATATGGTGCATTAAGTGCCTGTCAATTCATGTAAAGGCCAAAATGAAAATAGACCTGGAGCACTTATCTGACCCAAAATACATTTACTGCTTCCATGCAGCTTCTTTCTAAATTTTCTAAATGTGGTTGCTGTTCTTAAAGGCAAAAACTTATTGAAAAGTGCTAAAGAAATATTTTTTTTAATTGAAAAGGGATTATTACTATGCTGTGTAGCCATTAGGAGTAATGTTGGCTGTGGTTGTTAATTAACTGATAAATGGAGTGGCTGTATTTTGTCGGATTTTCTGCTGGGCCTTGAGAGCTAGGGTGAATAACTAAGTCAAGCCAGATTTCTGAAGCTTATAATGGTTCAGGGATTTTTTTGCTGTAAACTTGTGATACCTTTAGCCTACAACTGTGTTGGATTTTCTTTGAGGTATGTCAAGCATAATGGCAAAGCGTCATTAATGCTTTCAAGGCAAGAACAATACATAAAGGTTCAGACCAATTTAATTTAAAAAAAAAAGACTCTGTGTTTAAAAATAGCATCCAACTTTAAGACCTTATCCAGCCTCTTATGAAATCATTGGTTTGAATGGAATATGCACATGTATAGAGTATGAATGTTGTTCCCCAGAATTTTTGCTATGATGGAATTTCTTCTATTCAGTGAAGTCCTTTGTGCTGGGGGATAAATTCTTTACCCTGCACATTTCATTGTGGAGACCAATAAACTGCCAGGAGTTTGCATTCTTACCTTTGATTTTTGACTCACTGACATTCAGAACTTTTTATATACTCCTTATCCTTTTTACCATGAACCTTTGCAGAAACTATTGTTTGTGTGGATTTATCATTGGTGTACATTTATACTTTTTATGTGTTCAGTGGTTTTATGGCACTTGCAGTTTGGTCCTAAGATGACCTTGGGAGAGCAGCCTGTGTCCTTGCTGACCACGAGACTGGGTGATTGCCTTTCTCTGATGGTGGAGCTGTCAGCACAGCTCCTCCATCAGAAAGCGGTGCCAGGAGTGCACATGCCTTAGATACTGGGGTTGCCTTATGCTTGCCCTGTATTCTTTGCAGGCTGACTTTAGTTTGGCAATATGGTTTTAAAAAAGTGTTATGATGGCAGTCCTTAGTGCATGCATAGCTGTCAGTCTTGAGTTGTATGTAGGGGAAGTTGTGTTTATGTGCTCCTGTTCTTGAGAAAATCCTCAGTTTCATTTGAAGTTTGTTCTGTGGCTGTGATACCCCCTGGATTTTTTCTCTCAACAGCCATTTCATTTAGTCTCCCTCCATGATGCACTTTTATTCCACAAATGTTTTCAAAACTGTCATGTGTTTGACTCATATGAATTACCTTCCTTTCCAGGCCTTTTCTCTTCCATATTGAAATTGAGCCTGTCCATTTGCTTGTGGCATATTTTCATATTTATTTTGATTATGTGGTGTGATGTTGCTGATACTGTTATAAGCAGATACGGGAATTATTCTACATGATATTTGACCAAACTATCGTAATCCTTTTCGGTAGAATGTCAGACACTCTGCACTGAAGATTCTGCTCAGTTTTGGTCATGTGTGGTAGCAGTGCTTCTTTTCCATTATATACAAAGTAGACTACTTGCCATTTAGCTGTCCTTGCTTTAGCATGTCTCTGTTATAAAGGCCAAAAAGACCTAGAGTAAGTATGCCTTTCCACTCATCCTAACAGGGTTCTGACCACCTAATTCTGGGTGCAGCTGTTCCCCTGCACTCACCATTACTAGCCACACCTCTAAGTCAGGAGGACTTTGAGGTCCAAATTGCTGGAGACTGCTAAAATACTGTGGAGTAATAGTACTGTAAGCCTGCCATGTATTTTCTCATGCTTTTCTCTAGGTTGCTGTGACCACAGAGAGAGGATTTTGTATTAGATGGATCTGTGGTTTAACACAGTTCTTAGTCTTATAAGAGATTATAAATTATTAATGTAGGGTTGGAAAGTGAGTCCTTAGTGGAAAAAAGTTTCCTTTTCTTTTAGCATAAAAGCTAGATAAGAAGCTTTGTTGTTTTTCCAAACTTAAATGGGTATTTGAGACATGACAGTTCTACAGTGGATCTTGGCATGATGACTGTTGACATGGTTATTTATATTAAAGTTAGATTAGTATGTGCCCCTGAATACAAAGGAATGGTTGCTGCTTGGATTAAGCTGTTACCATTGGAGTCTTTCCTTTATCCCACAATCTCCCTCTGTGTTTCTCCCTTGAAAAGACTGATAGAACAGGCCATGGGTGAGATGAATTTTCTTGGCAAACTGGGAAACTTCAGCTTAAAAGTTGGATGCCCTTATTTTATAAAGCTGATCTTTCAATATAACATCCATTAAGAAAAAATTCAGCTTAAAGCTTACTGTTTTGGTGGTTGTCTAGGAATTTTAATCCACTTTTACTGGATAGTTGTGCTGCTGGTCAGAGTTAGTTTTATGATGAGTCAGGGAGAAGAAAAGGATAAGGAGAGAAACTGGACCTTTAATGAGCTATTGGACTTCAAAAATATATTGAAAGAGCAGTGGCTCCAGGCCATCATTTGCAAATTTTTTCTATTTGTTTTTTTTTTTTTTTTTTTTCACAAGGTTTACTAGATCTGTTCAATCTAAACAGCATATTTTGTGATGAAGGGCAAGTCACTTGCAGGCAAAATTTCCTATTTAGTATTTTAGACATTTGAATGTTTAACTCCAAATCTTGAAGAGGAATGGTAGCTTCTCTGCCTATTCCTTCCAGCCATTGGTTATGTTCAGTCATAGCCAACCTCTTGAGCATCTTGGTTGCATCATTTACAATAAATTTGTTTTTAACTGCAGGCGTCATGACTTCATTATACTTGTTCCATTTCATCTTCCATCTATCTCTTTCCAAGCAATGTGGACAATTCTGTAGCCGAATGGGATGTGTTGGATCACAGTTTGAACATTTTGTTATTTGTCCTTTCTAAATGGTCCATTTGTGTTTATTTTGTGGCCTCTATGGGTTACTATAATAAATGTGAGTAATAAAGGAGTAAGAAGGTGGCACTAGTCCTTTACTGTTTATGCATAGTTTGAAAGCACGACTTCTCCAACAGAACAGTTTTGATTGTTTCTTCTGGTCATGTTCTGTCATTCACTCCAATTAAATACACCTTAGGAAGCTTTTATGTTTGATTTTTGAATGCAATTATTGCTCTGTAGTTAAAATGGATGTATTACAATTAACTTTTGATATCTCTGGATGATTTATCTAAGCTGTGAGCAGTAAGACTCTCTGTCTTCTCTACCAGAGTCACAGCTTTACAGCAGTTTCTACTGGGAATGCCATCAAACCTAATCAGTAGACAGTCAGCTCCATAGATTTCCCATGCATGTGTGCAGGTTGAACAATAAGTGCCTGCTCATGTTGATCAAAAAACTACAATTTTTTTGTATATTGCTCTGTGATTACCTTGGAGTATGGTGTCACACACAGGTTACATGAACCACTGGCTTTGTGGTCCCTAAATAAAATCATGACACCCATTGTTCACCAAACAGTTTTTATTTAGAATAGACTGTAGTCCACAAAGGCGGACAATATGATTTGGTAATGAGATGTAGATTCTTTCAGTAGTCCAAATATGGATAAGTTCAATATTAAAATTGTTTCCTGTGTGAGGATTAAGTAGTCACGAGTTTTAGATGAATTCCGCATTATCTAATCCATTTTGCAGAGGACAAAAAGTTTGCATCAAAAAGTAAAGGAGCTGATTTTGTGTAAGCTACCATCCTTCTCATGAATTTTCCAGGTCCCTGTAGAGAAGCATAGACTAGAACTTGTGATATCCATTAAGGATTCAGAGAGGGAGGAAATTAAGACCGCATATTTCTGTAATGCTCAGATGCAGATCATATTGCTTCTGTCAGAGCTTGTCAGCAAGTCTAGAGTGCATAAATGCAAGCTGCTGTTAAGCAGAATGTGAAAATGGGGTTAGAGAAATAGTAGTAGATAATAACCATGAAAGAGCTTAGTATTAAATAATTAAATTTACATTGATCTAAAATATTGTATGTACAAAGAAATGTCACTAAAACATTTAAGGCTATCCACACAAAGTGTCTGTCTTTAAAACTTATTTAGTCTATCTCATCGTATTTCATCGCCTTTCTTCATGAAGTTCTGATATAATAAAGGTACCTACACATTAATTATGTCCATAGATTTTATCCTTCTTGTAGTCTCACTAATACAAATAGTAACTGATTCATCAAGTCATGTGATACCTGCCCATACTGTTAGCCCATGGTAAGATAAAGGTTGGTTGTTAAAAAAAAACTTGTGCTTCAATTTTTTTTGCAAAATACGTCATGGTGTTTTGTTTAAGAAATTGTTTCCTTTGTGCATACACAATTTAAAAATCGCTCAATTTAAAATTTATTTGGTCTTACATTCTGTTATTACTTGCATGTCGTTACGTGGGTGCTTTGTACGCAATGGTTTGGCAGTGGCCTTCTGAATTTATTTGTGGGACTCTTGGATTCAGAAAGGGGCATTTGATGATGTTACACAGATTCTGTGCTTGCTATGTCTGTGTTAGAAGTTGGTTTAACAATTTTATCTTTGAGATCAAGGATCAAGGAGATCAATTATTCGATTCTTCTTTCTTTAGAGGTACTAAAACATCTGCAATGGTAGTGAAAATGTGCTGTAGATGTAGAGAAAAAATCCTATCTTTTTCATCTTTATTATTAAAGAATTCTGTGACTTTTACATAGTCCTGGTACTGTGTGTGAGAACTGGGTGTTTCCCTTTATGGTTTAATTTGATCCAGCCGGAGCTGCTTGCAAGCCATCCAGGATAGTATCCATGAATAAAATAAAATAATAATAATAATTAAAAAAATTTAAATAAAAATAGCCGTTGTTTATTTTTCTGTGTGTGTGTGTGTTTAAGAACAATAAACTTTTTTTCTCCTCTTTGTAGATACACTATAAAGAAGAGTTTAAAAAATCTAAAGGCAAGTGCATATTTGTACCTGACACCCCGCAGCTAAAACATGTGAAAAGTCTCGGTGCTTTTATTTCTGAGGTAAGATCTAAAAGGCTGAAGAATTTTCTTGGCTTCTTATCCTTCTTAAAAAGTCTCTCAGTTGGATACAGTGACTTTTAGCAGGGGAAGAATGGCTTCTTTCAAATAACAATTCTGTTTATAGCTAAAGTGACTTAAAAGGCTGTAATTAATATGTACTGTGTATGTGAGTAATAATAATTTGGAATTATATGAAACTTTTATTTTGGGATTCAAAGATACTTTGTTAATGGTTCTGAGACAGTCCTAGCTATCCCATTTTATGGGTGGATAAACCGAGGAATAGGAAAAGAATTTTTTTGTTACTTGCTCTGCAGTGATGAGGTTTGCAAACTTTACCTGTGCAAAGTTTTGTAATATAAAACAGGAGACAAGGGAACTGTTTCCCTATTGTCATCCCTGTCTTTCTTCAGCAAGGGACCTGGGGCAGACATCAGGGCAATGCCATCTGTGGGTTGCCTGAGCACTTGCATGCCTCCCTGTGTCAGAAATTTTAGGTCTTCATGTGCACAGACGTGAACACACACACACACACACACACACTCACACACACACACACACACACTCACACACACACACACACACACACACAAAGTTGCAGTGGCAAAGAGTAACAGTTTCCAAAATGCCACAGCAGCGTTTACTGTCAGCTCTTCATGTCCCAGGTACCAGGTGCTGTAGAATTGCATCTCTGATTATTTTCACAAGTGAGGAGTCAGTAGGAGTTTTACGTGATAGAGAGGTGCTTTGTTTAGTTCTGGGTGATTTTTCTGTCACTGTGGCCCTTGGAAGATGTAAATTTTTGGTGCCTCGTTTTTTGTGTTACCTTTATTATTATGATAAAGGATGCTCCAATATCTCTGTCTGAAGTGACGTAATTTATATACATTCTATATCCTCTTTCTGATATACAATAGTTTTCTGTGTGGCTACATCCAATATACGTGCATCTGGTGAATATTTTTGTTTTATTTATCTTTCTTTTTTCTAAGAAAGAGTGGCATTACTCTTAAGGGGAGTAAATCTGATGTAATCCCACTTTATAAGAGGCAGACTATTGCAGTCTACAAAAGAACAGTATATAGCAAGTATTTATCTAATCCATCTAGTTCCATAGAAAAGCTGCTAATTATTAATCAAAGATTTAGAGATATAAAGGTATTTTAAAATTTTTAAACCCCTTATGTTTTATGTTAACAAACTGTTGAGCACTCTGTCTGCTTATTGCAGCATTACCTGAAGCTAATGATGTGATGGATGGTTTATCTTGTAAATTACTGACCTCTAGTGTCCCTTAACCTGTTTTTGCAAAACTTGGACACTGAAATTTTTAACAGCATGTCCACAACAGTGAAGAAGAGCCCTCTAGCTTGGGAAATTTGTTACAGCAAATTATTTATATAGATATATACATATGGGGAATTAGCCTGTAATGAACAGCTGTATTATGCACAGTAAATTAAAGACGTTAGACAGTATAATTTAAAATATTTTTGGTATTTATGATCACTTTCACCCCAGTACTTGACATTGTTTTTATGAATTTGAAAACCTTAGATATAAAGCAAAAGCCTCACAGATTTTGAACAATTATTCTGTTCTCTCTCATGAAATCCTTTTGTGAGGAATTGCTAGTACTGAACATTGGAGGAAAGACAGGATAAATAAAAAGTAATTAAAAAATGAGACTGTAATATGAAAAGATTTAGTAGAAATGATGGTGGACATGCTAATTTCAATGTTCCTGTCCTTTCCAGCTACATTTAATTGCTTATACTTATTAATTGGTGAATTAATTGCTGATACTTACTAATTGGTAAAATATTTGTTGTTGGCCTCTCATTGCTCCCGTTGTGTAAAATTTGTGAAAAGAGAAAGAAAAAAGGTAAGTTTTCATTTTGAAAACAATTTGAAAAAGTATAGAAAAATAACTGCCTTGTTACCTTATTTTATACTTCCCTCCGAATGATTGAATATAATTAGGAGATATTTTGCATTGTTTTGTGAATTAGACACATCCACCTAAAGTATTATTTAAATATGTTTTTGCTTGGAGATTAATGACAGCATTAAATTTTTCCAGTTCTAATGGTCCATGCCATTTTACTTACTAGAAAAAATAGGTATTATGTTTACTGTGTCTTAATTTTTGCATTATATGTCACCTTTCTCTGCCCTCTAGGTGAAGTACAAAGGAGCTGCTAAGAAAGACCTTTCTAACTCTCTTTATCAGCAGATGCCAGCCACAATTGACAGTGTATTTGCAAAAGAATTAATGCAGCTTCAGAGCAAGGTACAATTTTTACAATCGCAGAATGATTTTTAGATTAACTGTGAGTCAGAATATGTCCAATTTGAACAAAATATTTGAGCAGACACTTGATTGCTGGCTTGATTTATTTGGGTAAGTTTATCAACCACAGTTCATCACCATAACTTCTTAACTTCAAGAACGACTCACTTTTGAAATGTTGACAATCTTATGACTTTGTGTTTATTAAATATACATTTAGAAGCTGCTAATGCATTCATAAATACATTAGACATCCATAAATGCAATAAGGAATTACTGAATTCAGTGACATTGTACTGTGCACAGAGAATAGATGAATCGTATATAACAACTATTTCCAGTTGGGTGTTGTATTAGCTATATGAAATGTTTGATGCTGAAGGCAAAAGTTTAAAATCTTTAATGACTTCTATAGGCATTTACTGGTAGCAGTAAATGTATTTGTGATGGTCTGCATACTAATACAATAAATTTTATAGAATTAAAAATATGAAATGAAGTATATTGAAGATAGTGTAAAACATGTAAACAACCAGCAAAATTGTAAATTCCAGTTCAGTTGCCTTCAGGGGCTTAAAAGTATAGTACCCTAAATGTAAGGAGGTGACCCTTCACTTCCATTGATCTCAGTGGAATTACAAATGTTAAGTATGTGTAATATGAATGGAGTTAGAAATTGTCATTGTTACTCAGGAGAATTACAGCTGATAGATGGTCTTTACTTTCTGTCCACTAAACATTTCCACATTTTTCTTGTTTTTACTTTCTCCTCTCTTAAAGATATAGTTTAATGCAACCAGTGTGTGAAGTGAACATGCTCCTCAATCCATAATATTGACTGTATTTCAATATGCATTCCTCTAATGCAGTGATATTTTTTCAGACAAAGGAGAGTACCAAAAGAAAAGACTGAAATCTCAGGACACCTTGTAGAGAAATGTTTTGATATAAACCAGTGTTTTAATCAAGACTATATTAAGCAAATATAATAACATATATTTTAGTTTTCATAGTTTGAAGTGGAACATATATACACTCAAGTAAAAGCAGCATAGTAGCTGAAATGACATTAATGTGACGTTTCACTGAAAAGTGAGTGATTAGAGGAATTACAGTAGAAATAAATTGGGGATTAAACTTGTGTAACATTTTAAAACCGTTAGTTTGATTTATAAAACATTAGTTAACTATTTTGCTGCAGATTTACTCCTGGATTCATTCCAAATTATTACATTCTACATTAGTTTACACAAATGGTGTTAATTAATATTGGTGATGTGGCAGAAAGGATAAGTAACTGAGACTAAAAGTGAAACCATTGATTTGTCAAAAAAAACCCCCAACCTTTTAAGGAAAAGACTGACTTTTATTTGCTAGTTTTTGAAGGTTTTCCTCAATCATCCAACAGTCATAGAGAAACAAATATGCATATAGGATGAGATATTTAAGCAGAAATTTTCCCTGTAAAAGTCATACCATTCCCTTAGGAATAGTTGCATTATAAATCATAATCTACCATAAAACTCAAAGATATACTGACACATTTTTCTAACTTGTGGTTACTGTTGCAGTGGACCTGAATTTAATGCTACTTTGAGAGAGATCTCAGGGGATTTTCTAGTGAAAATGTTCTCCACAGTATTCAAATCTAATCCATATTGTGCCTATCACTGTGGTACCTAAGTAGCTAATACAAGGATTTCACATTCCAGCTGGGTCAGGATGTGGCAGAGAGGGTTTTTGCTGCATCTGTCTAGCTGGTGTTGTGATTTACAGGTCATCACTTCAGGAGGAGACTATGGATGTGCCATAGGAAGGAGAGAGAACAGCAGCACCAGCTGCCCATTATGCCAGCCCTCCTGCAAAAAGGCTGCTGCAAGCACAGAACTGCAGTCTGTTTCTCAGTTATAGTAAGCTGATTTTAAATAGGTGATGATTTCCCGAGAGGTGGAAAATACGAGTACATATCCTCCTTCCCATCCACGTTAGAACAGATTTCCACCTTTGACTCCTTTTTCATGCTTCTTGGATGAAATGCTGGGCTTGAATGCTTTCGTAGCCAGATCAAGCGGGAGTTTTCTCGTTCTGTGGTGCCATGTTCTTGGCAGGATTTGTAGCCTCATCTGCCAAACACTTGCACAGGGACTAGGGGAGCATGGTGTGGAAAGAAAGAGAGCCACTGACTCTCCCTGCTGCTGCTTGCTGGCACAGGCTGGCATACCTCTTCTGGGGGATCTCCTTACACAGGTGTACCCTCGGCAAATGGTCTCTCCCATGATTTGATGTTTGCTCCTGAAATGGTGCTGCTATACTGCTCTGCCCGGCAGCTCTGTCTTCAGCCTACCTAGATCTAACCCAATTTAGTAATTTGATACACTATTTCAAATCACGCTCATCATTTAGGAGCTTGGGGGCAACTAGGGGAAATTTCCTGTTTTTCATAAGAAGTCATTCCTCACCCACACTGTCCTCTGCAGAGCAAACAGACTGCCACAGCACCATTGACCACGTTTGCATGCTTTAACTCATATGGCAATTGTCACTAAGTTCAGCAGAGACAGGACCTCATTCTGGAGAACTGCAGCCATGCAAGGTCAGCACTGCCATATGGATCTTCCCACAATGGAGGATAGAATGCCCTGACAAATATGATTCTCTTCCAGTGGAGCTTTTCTCCCGTATTGACTGTATTGATACATGCTCAATTCACCTTCAAGACACTCAGGAAAGCCTTAAACAAGACCACACCTGTAGGCTTTTGCATGAAACCTACATTTTTTCTTTTGTGCTTTATGTAGAAGTGGCACAAAGATGTAAATAAATACCCATAGAGAAGGACGTCTATCTAAAACTGTGACCAAAAAATCACGCCACTCTTTATGGGAAAAAATGTTTCAGGAGAGTGAAAGAGAAGTTTAATAGCCCCACATACTTGGGTGGCTTTTCTCAATTTCACTTTTTCCTCTACGCAGGAAATTTGACTGTTGACTGCTAAGTAGCTTTCTTGAGGGTGAGCAACCAGATATGCCTCCCTCTCTCATTGTCCTCAGGGTAAGCTAGAGAGAGGAGAAGTCCCTGTTCTCAGTGAGTAACTTCACTCTCCTTGCCAATCTACAAAAGCTCTCACCAATTTCCCTGTTTTCTGCAATGAGAAAATGAAATTGATGGGAGCAGTCTAGGCAGGGAGCCTTCAATGTTGATCTTCCTGAGAGGAAGTGGACATTTTTTTGAAAAATTGCAGTTTTCCTGTGGAAAATATTTCTGAAGGAAAACTTCTAATCATTGCTAGATCTGTGCCAAGTCTTTTTCTTGTCTGAAGATCAGACAAGATTCAGTATACTGAATACTTCCTTACGTAGAACAATTTTTTTAATAAGGTGTCACAAACAATGATAAAGGTATTTAAAATTGCTTAAAGGGAAACAATGTTGAAAAAAAAGTAAGTGTTTCATCACTTTATTTCTGCCATAAGAAGTGATTGCATTGTTTTTCCTCTTATCTGAAAGGAATAATCTAAAGCAAACTGAAGGCAGTTTAATTTTCTCCTTTGCACAGGACAATATCTCAAACAGTAACTCTGTGTCAGTGCTTAACGGCATTTTCTGTTTGGTTTTAAAGATGATGAGTCAAGTGAATCTTAATATTTTCAACTTCCAGAGAAAGTTTCAGAGAGTTTCTTTTACTACAATAAAAGTGTAGTGATTTACTGCATCGCTTACAATCGCATTACACATTATCAGACTGTTTTATGTAATTCTTTAATTTTTTTTATGTTATGAAATGTCATGTTTGAGATTTCCTCTGTTTTATGGTGGCAGGTATTAGTCTCCTGGACTTCTATACTTTTGTTTTACATGAATACACTGGATAATCTAATTCTCTGTGTAGAAATTAAAATGACATTTTCTGTGTTCTTGAACATTTCCTCCTACAAAATCCTACTTTGTGGATTTTAAGTTCAGAGCTCAGTTTACTGACTATAAAGGGAAATGTATAAAAAAAAAAGTAATAGTGTTTAAAGTATGACAAAACAGAGGGTCAGAGCTAGGTTAAAAGAGCACAAAGCCTTCCTTAATGCAGCTTCCTATTGACACACTGGTGTACAAGAGAGATAAGAAAAATAAAAAATGAGTACTTACAAATTAGTTCAATCTGAAGTCATACCTACTTAAATAATTGCCTTGTATTTCTCAAGTTAATAAATGGTGCCACTAAAGGGTAGAGGTTATGTCAGTGACCTGTAATGCTTGATCTCTCTGTAGAGTAGTTTCTTATGCAGATTTCATTAAGGAAATTCAGTTTAGCTAAAACTTGAAAATTAACATGAGGTTAAAAATAAATTTACACATGCTAACCTCTAAAATAATGGTTCTAAGAGTGTTGATGAAATAATAATAATTATTCTTTCATGCTTCCTTGGAACTGATTTACAAATCTAGGAATAGTTTTAAACTAAAATGTCCAAAACTAAACTAGAGAGCCTTTGAACTCCTCCTCGCCTCTGACTTCTTCTAGATTACTTCAGTGAATTAATCAGAATAATGTGAAAAGATAGGAAGAGCATAGATTTCAAATAGGAAGTGAAATATTATTGCATTAATAAAGCAATGGTCATCTTTTTCCAAGATAGTGAATACTTAACTGTAATTTCTGTTAATTTTCTCATGATGGGAATTGGTGTGCTGTTGTGGTTTGATGTCTTGGTTATGTAGTCCACTTGCCAAGAGAAAAATAGAGATGTTGAACCAGTGAAGTGGTAATGTAGTAAAATATTTGTAAATTAGTAGATTTTGGATGAAACTGTATGGGGCTGCTTTTCAGAATGGTGTTAAGTGGGGAACATCGTACATGTGACAGTGTAAGCAAGGAGAAGCTACAAAAGAGTTTGTGTGGCATGTGTTTGTATGGTAATTACACTTTTGCAGGGATTCATTTGTTAGTGATGCTTCAGTCTTACTGAAGATTATGTGCTTTTCCATTTGCCAGATGTAACCAGTGTAGGCAAGTTATGGACTCTTTTTGTTTCAATTTAAGTTGTGTTTGTTTCTCCAGAGGCCTGATCGTGTTACACTATATGAGGAGGTGGCACATTTTAAGTTTCCCGATTTGATAATTTCATTCACATAGTAGCGGTGCAAAAATTCCCCCTCCCCCTCCTTTTTGTCTTAATCTCTCAGCCTATATATCATTTTGTAATCCGAGATAGTCAGGGCAGATACTAACATATTGCCTTGGGTACCCTACTCTGTGACTCAGATGAAATTGTGCTGCTTTAAACAGAAACAGATACAACATTTTCTCACAGTTCTATTATCCTGTCCTAAAAGAGTCTGAATCACTCTAGTTGAGAGTTCTCTCAAAACTTTCACGGTATTCTTTCATTGGTATCAAGGGTTTTAGTTTCAGTACTTCTCCTTCTGATCATCTATCGATCTTATTTACTATTTGCTGTTTCCTTGGGGATTATTTTAGTGCTTGTTCATGAGAGCTGTTAGAAAACGAATTTTCTTGATGCTTCTTGCTTTTTAGGCATCAAAACCTAGTGAATTTTCTTAATATAAACCTAAAAGCTTCTGACAAGAATAAGTGCAAGATCAGCTTCTCAGGCAGTTCTGATATATGAATGTGTGTATATATAAGTATAACACAGTACAATGAAAGCTGGATGAATGCCCAACATTGAGCTCCATTTCTATTATAAAAATAAATGTGTTTCTAAACTCACAATTCAATTACATTTTCCTTTACCATGATGTTAATTGAATGTAAATATTATTTTTTTTGTGAAACTGGGGGCTAGTCAAAATGCATATTGTGCTAGTAGTTTCCTAGCAGCAGGAGAAAGAGAAGTTTGAGCTATGAGTATTTAATGTAGAACTGTTTGTTTATGGCAAATGCATAAACTTTTTTCCCCTCTGAAAATGGTGTGTTTCGAGCAAATAAAAAGCTTCTACTTATCCTTTTCCCCGATCTGTCTTCTCACCTTGTTAAGCTTAATTTTCTGTTTCTGTATATTTCTTTTTCTTCCCCCTGTCTACTCATGACTCTGTTGCAATAACAGATGCTGACTCTACCTTATTTGTCTCTGTTTTGGGTAGAAGCTGCTCTCATTTCAAGGTTCTGGTTCCATTAAGGAGTTTAATTATTTATTATGTATCTTCCTCCATACAGGCACACCATGACACTGGGTTTAACCCAGCTCATGTTATTATACCTGCTCTGCTCTGGTCGCAAAAGTATAATGTTGCTCCTTTCAGGTTCTCTATAAACAAAAACATGATGCTGAGAAAGGAACTTCAGATTACGCACGAATGAAGGAGCCTCCAGATGTTAAGCATGCCATGGAAGTCAGTAAACACCAGAGCGATGTAAGTACTTCCCCATCTGAAATGAGTGTGCTTGTTTTGGGTAGATACATCTGCTACAGCTAGCTGAAATGAATTAGCATGGAATATTTTCATATTTTATTAGTTGGGTTTTTTTATATGTTAGTTGCTCTAAAGTTATTTGGGACATGATGTGTATATAAATTGCATGAGTTAAAAGTATGTGACTTTTACCCCGAATTGAAGTGAAAAGTGGTTGTTACTCTTTATCAGTTATTTTATCAGCTCATTTTTTACATGAATGGCAGTGTTATTTCAGTGTCTTATGCTGTCAATACTTGGATATTAGTTCTTCAGCAGTGCTGTACAGAGGAGAGCAGTGGGCTGTTTCTGCTCTGCTCCTGCACACTTTTATGTACATGAATAACTTTGTTCCTATCTCATAAATACATGTCAAGTAAGTTTCAAAGAATTTAATAGAATAATTTATGGTTTATTTTACAGAATCCGAGGCATAGAGTTCAGTTTGATACCTGAAACTAGTTTATACCATTTGAGCAGAGTATTTGGTTTTTTTTGTTTTATTTAGATCATTTACAAATAATTAGGAGTGTTTAGCAATATTTTGAAAGTTAGTTGATTTTTTTGTTTTTCAGCTGCTTGTTATCTTCTTTAAGTTTTGTAGGTTTTCACAGTATAAAAGCCTAATAATAGTATTTACATTTTATGATAGAATCAAGTCAGGTTTGATTTCATGGTTAAGATAGCTCATAGTAGCTCAAGGCACCACTGCTTGGGGCAGAAATGCTACTCAGATTCGTGTCTTAAATGATACAAACACAGCTTTGAAGAAAAACTTATGTTAGTTTTAGGTTTTGTAAAAGCTTACTTATAGGAAAAGTAAATTTTAGGAGAACATTGGTTAAAATAGTGAGGTCATTTTAAAGGGTACACAAAGCTAATGTGTAATTACCTTTAAAGTTATGACAAACACTCTTAGGTTATGCAGGCTGAAAACTAAAAGTCAGTGTTAGATGTCTGCATGTGCAGAATCTTGACAGCTGGCTGCTGATTAAAAGGCTGCTGGAAAACTTCAGGGAAGCATTATGTTTGAAGAATAACTTTTTCTTCTGCTGGAAAATACCTACATTGGAACTCCCAGCAGTAATTTGCAACCTGCCTTGATTACAGAATTCCCTCTTCCTGTCAAACTCTGTCTGTTTCTGCCATTGGAAGCATCAGGATGCCACACTGACAGAACGTAGGAGTTGGAAACATGAATGTCTCTCCCCATAAACCAGAGGGGTTTTTTACCTAGCAGTAGGAATGATGGTGGACTACAAGGGAAGTAAATAATGTTGGAAAGAGAGATGCAAATCCCTCTCAAAGAAAGTGGTGGGACCAGGGGGAATATGAGATGAGTTTCTGTGTCGAATTCATCATGGTCTGAGGATTAGCATGCTAGTTCAAAACCCATTCCACTTCTACAGCTGTACATCACCTGCTAACAGAATTAAGGAGAGCAGGGTACAGATGTGAGGATAAATGAAATTCAGTTGTTTCATCTTCTTTCCCTCTTAAAACAAGCAAGAAAAAAAAAAAAGAAAAAAAAAGAAAGGAAATGAAGGAAAACGTAGGAGGCAAGAATGTTTTGGTAAATGAGAACTTTTAAGAGCATGTTAAAAATAATGAAAAAAATATGAAGGAAATTATTTTCAGCCTGTGCAAACTTCAAAACAATCAAACAAACCATCCATATCCAACATAAAACTCTAACCAGTTAGTTTAATTCGTTTAAGAACAAATTCCTTCTGGTTGCTTGTGAAAAGCTGCAGTGCAATGGGTGTATGTCTTTATCACACATAAAGAAGAAAGTTACGTAAGTCCAGTTACTGTTCAGCAAAGTTACACAGCTCCTGTGAGCTTCATGGTGAATAGCTGTGGATTCCTTGGTTTGTAAGTACAGGTTTAATTAAGCACTGTGTGAGTTTTCATCTTTGAGTCAGAGCATGGGATAAAGTGCTCCAAATGTGGAGCATTTGTCTTTCTGAACTGTTTGAGGCTCTGTGTGTAATCACAGCTTTGAAAGTGAAGTGAAAAAGAAGGGAAATTATAGAGGGGCAAGAAGGACAAAGCTCTTTTATCCACCACTCAGTACAGTTTACCTATGGGAGCAGAATGCATGTTTACCTACAATGCTCTTCCAACTCAATTCAACCTTTACATGGAGGGTTTGTATCTAATAGGCTTAGGATGTGGTTAAGACTATTTACTCAGCCTTAGAATAAGGCTGACATTTATACTCAACTCTGAGAGATGCATAATTTCCTTTAAAAATTAAAACTATATTCATCTTACAGAACAACTTTGCTGACATTTTGAAACTGTCTCGTGCTATAGGTTTTCACACAACTTTGAATATCATTAATATACTTATATATAAGTGTGGGTAGAAGCTGTGTCCCAGAGAAATACTGTAAAATCTCCTGAACAATGTGATCATGTATAAGAAAATAAATTTTCTCTTTTTCATATAGACTGAAGAAAATTGCCCTCAAACAAAAGTGATAGGAAATATGATAGGAAATGATAGGAAATATATTTGATGACAGGAAATGATAGGAAATATACTTGAATTTTAACAATAGGAAATATACTTGAAGAAGAATTAAAATACTACAGAATGCTTGGACAAAAGCATGTTTATCCAAAACAGAGTACTTTTCTCTATAAATTATGTTTGTGTTTTGTGAAGTGAATGTTAATGATGTGACTTTGGCACACGAAGTCATTTGCAGAACAATGAAGTAGGGACCATCAGCCTACTTTATGTCTGTGCTTGCCTAATATCATTTACCTCATCTGGAAGTTTCCAAACGTGGGACCAAAGCTAGGGGGTGGCCCTTAAAAAAAAAAAAATCAGGCCACAAAATACTGTTTTGCCTTGTGTGTAGCTGAGGATCATGTGGATGGAAGAATGTACTTGGACAGTGAAATGACATGACAACTAAGTTTCTAAAGCAAAGAAATCACTTGCCACATTGTGCCTACATTGAAGCTGCATGTAGCATTTGAGGAAGGTACTCAGAAGCCCTGGGTCACGGTTTTGTGTGTTCCATGCCCTAGTCCATCACTAGGCATTATGAATAAAAAAACAATGTTAAATATGTGTACAGCAATTTCAGTGTTCTACTTGGTTAAAATTAGTGATTCTCCTCAAAGCATTACACGGTATGAAATAAGGAAAGGGTTCTGATTCTACAAAGAAGAAAACTGCAGTAGATTCATATGTGGACATCTAAAGGGCAATTTGCAGATCTGAGGTTGGAGCCCTGGCATCTTTTCTCTTATGACTTTGAAAATGTTAGTTGACAGTTGGGCAAACTTTTGATGTATATGTGTACACGTTCCACTGCACACAATGTTAGTAACAATAATTTAGAAGTTTCGCTCACCATCTAAATTTGAGTAATTAGGAAGTCTATATTGTCCTAGGAGTAAGGTTTTTTACATGTTCAGGATATTGTGCAGTCACAATCTACGTACACAAAGAAAGTGCGCTCTTCCTGATTAAACTAAATCGGCAGATCTTAAACCTAATGCACTTAAACACAATCAGTAACATACCCAAATGTTGATGTTTGTTTTGATGCAGACCATGTTAAAGTCAAGCTTCTCCTGGTTCTCTGTTCAGCATCTGCATTAGAAAAATCACCTTTCACTGACTAACTTTCTGCTGACAGTGGTTGTCAACAGCAGGTCCCCCTGGACCACTTCCAACTGGTGCTGAAAATGATGTTTACTCCTGATGTAATTGGGACCAATCAATTTTCAAGCCCATTACTGGAAAGGATGACTGCATCAATCTGTAATGGGCCAGAAATGTGTTTGTCTCTTCTACTCAAGCCGGAAAACAGTTTTCAGCATCCTTTGAGTGGGAATCAGAAAAGCTGTTGCCAATGATGATTGTCACCAGCTAGTCATTTTCTTAGTGTTGATGGACCCCAAAGTGCAGATGAGAGAACGGGGGGCAGAGACACAGCTGACAGGCTATTAGTGGACTTACAGCTCTTAGAAAATGCTAGGCAGGGACAAACAGTAAGAGACAAATTCTCATGCAGATAGGTGTACCCAGCTTCTTGTTGACTTCTGTGCATACATCTTAAGAGGACAAGATGTGTTCTTAGCTGCTTGTGCATATTTTAATAATTTATTACCTATAGCTTGGAATAGTTTTGATATTGGAAAAGGTGAGAAGATAAAAGACTGAAGGAAAGTTCTGAATCTCTTAAACCCAGGTTTGCTTGGCTCACCATGTAGAAGTTTCTGTTGACTGACAAACTGAGGTGTTTTACAGCATTTTAAGAAATTTGTTTACTTTATGGCATTGTAGTACATTCCACTGGCACCATCAGGAAAGATGAAGCATCTTCAAGACCCCCAGCTGGAGTAAACAGATCATCATGTTTATCCTCAATGGACCTTGTGCCTTTTTATAAGAGCTGCATGGTTGACCCTATTAAAATCAGTCCATTAATTATGAGCAGGCCCTGAATATTTTCCATGCTTTGCAAAAGCTAGTTGCAATTTGGAGTATGTAATCACATTTGGGATTAAAGATAAGAAATGTCTTTTGTTCAGATTATAAATTGTTAAAAATATTCAACTGTGTAACAACTTTTTATTGTAATTTCAAATCAGTATAGAAACCCACTTTAAATTTAGTTGGTACTTGTAATTTACTGTTTTCAGCTTCGAAACTTGAGATAGTACAATATTTTTTTTCTCTTTTAGTCCCTGCTTCTTTCTCACTTGCATTTCCAATTGGTCTGCTGTAACTCTCCATTTAGATCTTCCAATTCTGCTCTAAAGTTGTTGGTATCTCAGTTACTTTTTACTATGCAAAGGCCAGTTGGAGCAGATTTTTTGTAAACCTATGATCCTCATGAAAAGGAGCAATTCTTGAGCCTTTGGCAATGTTATTTGGTAGGGCCTGAGCAATGCCTTGAAGTGAATATTGAGTAAGGGCATTGTGTAATGCCTGGAATGGCATGAGAGTATCAGGGTATGAGCCTCTTAGTAAGGAGCCCAGCCAACTCAGGAGAAAAGCTGACCCCTTTCCTGAGTGCTTCTGCTGTTTCCTTTCTTTTGTTGCTTCTCCCCTCTTGCAGTCTTCTTCACTTTCCATCTTCTTGATGCCCATGGGTACACACACCAAACTAGTTGCTTTGCCCTGTCTACATCTGTTCCCCTGCACTCTCAGAATAGCTCTGGTTTTACTGTTCTAACATAGCACTATTAAAAAAAAAAAAAAATCACTAGATGGAACAGAATAGCAGCTGTGTAATAGAGGCCAGCACAGTGTCCCAATGGGAAAGGGTCAGCATCCAGGGATTGAGGTTATTCAGGAAATGGGAAACATATTTTTTCTTTCTTTGGCCTACCTCTGACAAACTACTGTTCTGCTGCATAACATTTTTATTCTCACTGGAGTATGACAAGCTGCAGAATGGAGCAAATATATATTGCAGACGTTTGTAAAATGCTAGATGACTTTCTCTCCGACATAAGTAATAGGTATACTGGTTTAGGTGCAGGAAGAATAATAATTCACTCAGGGAAGGGTATAGCAATTGGCCTTGCATCTAATATAATTGGAAATGGTGAAATATAAAGGACTGTCACTGTCTTATTTCTCCCCCCCTTTTTTCCTGAAATTAACCACAATCCATTATTTCGTGTACTATATGATCATGTCATTTGGGAGCAATAAGTGACCACATTTCCTCAACTTCATCACCACTGTTCTTGATTCTCTGATGTTAAATTCACTATATTCCTAATTTCTATTTTGAGCACATATGCTGGCCTTTAATTTGCAATTTACATGGATGATAGGGTGCTATTCAGAAACCTGTTTCTGCTGCCTTTGTGGTTTTCACCTCACTTCATGTGGTCATTAGGATGAATAGCATATAATTAACTAAATTCACGTAAAGTCCTGAATTGAAAATGCTTCTCTGGACATCTAGCTTCTTAAAAATATCTAAACATAACCAAAATAAATCTTCCAGTGGTTTAAACCAGCTCTGAAAATCAATTTCTGTTTTCTAGGTATGTGATACTTTGGGCTGTATTCATCCAACCTATTTGTTTGTTTACTTTATCAGTGATTACACTTGTGTGTCACTCATGGCAGATTAAAAATTATAAGATCTATTTACGGGCAAGCAGCCAACAGTGAAGCCTGTTTAGCTTGTCTACTTAGCTGAAGCCATATGGACACGAAATTACTTTCCTGTTGCATGTAAAATATTTGCCAAAAAGAGAGGTTTTTTCTTTTCTTTTTGCAATAACATTTCTACAAATTATATTTGTTGCTGACTGCTGCAGCTTATGACTTTGTTGCATTGAACCCAGAGTGAAACTTTACATTGAAAAGAGGACCAGAGGTTATGATGAGAAGATTCAAGCTGAGAGCTTTCTTGCTGGTGAAATGCTATCTTAACTTTGTGAGCAACAGAGGAAAACCTTAAAGATTTTCCACTAAAACAGGAATTATTCTGATACTTTCTATTTCCTGGAAACTTTATTTTATGTTCTCTAACTTTTGCCTGAAGCTTCTTTTGAAGTGATAACACTTTTGAATACTGGGGATGATATTCCTAATAATTCAGAATAATTAAATTAAGATAGCCTTTGGAAATTGGCTTAGATTGGCACATGTGCTACAGCAAGGAAAAAGTTCACAAACTCTGAAGAAAGATAACTTGTAGAGCTCTGTAATGTCCCTGAGGTCTATGTTGTTCCTGTGATTGCTTTGCTAAATGAGAATGTGTGGATTCTCCTACCTGTAGTATAGCCTACTGGCCAAAGTTTTCTGAGCCCATTCATTATAATAGTTGCTTTTGCACAAACAGAAAGATTCGATCTTGTACTCAACATACTGGAACACTCAGCCTTCTTGTTCCCATTATTGTGTAAAGGAGCAGATAAGTGGCATTGTGGGGATGCTTGGGTAGAGTTGTATCACTGAATTACATACCAGCTAAGTGGCTGTCTAGTATAGAGAAAGACATTCACTGTGGAAGAGTTACAGTTTCTGTTCAGTGGAGCTGCCATCTGCTAGGCTGCAGTGCTCAGTAACAGAGGGGGTTAGTTTATATTAAAAAAGAATACAACATAGGAAAAACAAACTGTAGTCTTAAAAGTCCTCTGAAATTTAGTGATAAAAACTAATATTTTGGTCTTTTCTACTGTGCTTCTAGGCAAAACCATTTTTCATTTTCATATTGTATTTTATGCTTCTGAATTTCTTCCTTGCCCTGGTAACCTGTATGTGGGTCTTACTGTATGATCCCTGTCAAGCAGAATGATGTTGGAATAAATTAGGCAGAGTTCTATTGAATTTGATGGCTGAGTTGACAGGTCATTCAAAGCTTATTTATAAACTTCAAATATTTTTGTTTATTTTAAACAAAACTGTTTTTTGTTTGACAGGTATCCTATAAGAAGGATGTGCAAGATACTCATAGGTACACTGAAGTGCTGAACAGGCCAGACATAAAGATGGCAACTGAGATAACAAAGATAATAAGTGATGTATGTTCTCCTTTTACTCTATTTGTATGTTTTAGACATGTAATTTTTTAAATCCAATTTCAATCAGATTTTTTTAGAATGTTGCTGAAACTCTCCAATGTCATGAGCAGAAAACCCACAACCCCAAATCTGATAGGGAGATTTGATTAAAAAAAAACAAACTCCAACAAAAAAACCCCAGTGTTGCCTGATATTTTAGAAAATGATGGATTTATCCTTTTTTGATGTTGACAGTATGATCTTAGCACTTATTGCTGATTGATCTAAAGAAAATGTTAAAAATACTAAAGCTGGGGTTTTTCAGCTTTATTTATGATAACCATTCTCAAAATAAATCATATGCTTGTATGGTATACTTCACTTCAGAAGACATAGCAACCCTTTTTTTGCCTTGGTGCAAGAGAAACTTACATCCCAGGACTTTGCTTCCTCTTCCCTTCTCTGCTGGCAGGACAGGAAAATGTAATTCCCTACTGTCCTGAGAACTGAGTCTTGCATGGGGTTTTAACTCCGCTCTTAAATTCTTTACTCTCTCACTGTGACCTTGGCTAATGGACAGGTGAAGGAGCAGTTTGAGAAGCAGCAGTGTGTGATGCAGTTTAATATTTTATTGTGACAAGTTATACAATAGGCATATTAAAAGCCCTGAGTCAAGATTGTAAGTAACTGATAATAATTAAATGTGAGACTGACTAGGCACATATGGAAAGACAGTTTTAAGAGATCTGAGATTCACCTTTTAATATTCAGGGCTTTTTGAAAAACAAGAGCTTTTATGACATATTATGCTCAACATGCAAATTCACTAATTGCTGTTCAAGCTCTCTTGGAGTTAGAGTGGCTTTGGGACTTTTATTTCTCCCAGTCTGTTGTTGTGATGTGTCCTTGCTGATTCACAGTGCCTGAGTAATACAAGAAGCCTATTTTAGGCAATGGGTAATTTAGTTTGTGGTATTGCAAAGCACCTATTGTTGATTCATCTGTGCTCTTTTCTGATGCATTGTGGGAAAAAATTGCAGCAATTTGCATGGAAGGCAGTTTAGCTGGAGGGATCACATAACACCAACCTTGTGGGACTAATTCTGCTCTGCTACACCAGTGCAATCTCACTGACATCCAGCAAGATCACAATGGTAAAACTGAGAGTGGAAGTTGACCTTACATTTCAAAAAAAGCTGCCACTCAGCCTAGTTTTATTTCAAGACTACTTTCAGCTGCTAAAAAAAAAAATCTTGTGTTAAGTGTAGATCCTGTCATAAGAAGTGCTGAGCCATTGTAATTCATTCTGCTTTGATCAGGAAGACAATATTTCTCAGGCTGAAGCTGTGCACTTGGTTAAAGTTGAATTTTGTGAATTTTGTGCATTGTGTTTTACAGTAGGTAAATTTTAGGTTGTTAAGGAGCTGAACCCTGAGAAGGGTTTATTCAGAACTAATCAGAGCAGCAGGGTCTATGTAGATCATTAAGTGAGACTTTTTCAACTAGCTTTATGCTCACATTTCTCTTGATAAAACGAAACCAAACATTTAATTAGTGATTAATATTCCTTTTTCTTTTTTTTTTTATTTTTTAATTAATTAATTAATTAATTTATTTATTTATTTATTTTAAGGCTGAGTACAAGAAAGGGAGGGGAGAGATGAATAAGGAGCCTGCTGTACTTGGAAGACCAGATTTTGAGCATGCCAAAGGAGTTTCAAAACTTTTAAGCCAAGTAAGATTCTCCAGCATTTTACAATGACTTCATTCAGATATCTCATTCCTAGTAATGCAAAGAAATATTTAGATTTTTAGATGATTATCTCTAATTGCTTGAAGATTATGTTCTCAAACCTTTCATATAGTATTGCAAGGACTGGTAAATTTAGGATTCTTAGGAAACCAAATACACATTTTTATGCAAAAATACAATGAACTTTGACTGTTACAACTCGTCTCTTGTGGAGATGGTGTATATTTATACAGATTATCTAGGATTTCTAAAATATTAACTGTATGTAATTTAGAGGCAAATTTTGCTACTCATTCAGTTTGAGTGGAACCTTACCCTGTGATTAATCCCACTGAAGTAACTGGGGTCTTTTGTGCAATTGCTTGCTAATGTGAGTAATGGGATCTGAATTTGGCCTGACATGTAAACTACCCTCCTTCCCTCCCCTTGAAACTGAACCTTTTATGTACTACTGTTATATATTAACCTCAAAAAAAAAAAGAGAAAAGAACAAATTACTTGAGCCCTTAATTAAAAAGAAAGCTGAAAGAGAAATATTCCCTCTTCCCCTTAGTAGTTTTCTACTCATAAGATCTACACATAAGACTGTACTACAGATCTGCCTGACATTGTGAGACCAGTTTTGACTGCTGACCTTTTTTTTTTTGCTTTTTCCCCCCCCTTTTTTTTTTTTCTGAAGTAGTTCTTTAACACTACCTTGCATAATCCTCACTAGTAATCCTATCCAGCTACCCTTGGAACTTCTATAAAACCAGGAACAAATTCTGCCCTCCTATTATCCTCCTAGAGGAGGATAACGCTCTTTGATTGGAGCCTTCCCAGAGCTCGGAAAAAACCCAAGTAGTATAGGTACTAGAACAGTCTCAGCATCAGCATCAGTGATGTGTAACAAATACTTGTGATTTGGCTAGATGCTAAAAGTCTAGAACTATCAAAAAGTGAGAATAAAGTGTCATGGAAAACAGGCTGCAAAACAGTGTAGTCTGCAGGAGGTTGAGCTCCTTTTGCTGTTATCCTTAGATACCCGCTGCATGATTTCCTGTTTCACACTGGACCGTCACAAACTTATTACATGAAGAGAAAAAGAAGGAAATAAATGGGTTTTATTGCTTTGTTGATGATGTGTTCAGAATCAAAATGAGTTTGTCTTTTCCAAATAGATTTCTGTCTTCCATTTTGTAATGGATCTTGTGCTCAGTCCTCTGCTGATGGGCAAGTCTGCTAAGAGATTGTGTCTAGCATTGTGCAGGCTAGGAAGTCAACTAGTGCTGCTTAGACCTGGGTATCACTTACAGGTAGGGGACCTGACTGTCATTTAGCAAACACCTCTAGTGGTTTTTAAAAGGGTTCATATCTAAATTTAGTGTGTAATGTCCTTTATTTCTACTCAAGTGCTGCCTAAACACTCATTTTCTTGCAGCCTATTTCAGAATCTAGTGGGCTTGCAGCTGCCTGTTGTCGCGAATGGGACCAAACTGGATCCCTTTCCAAGAGCCCTCTCCATTTGCCCAAGCTTGGTACCCATGAGATTGTGGCCAACAATCTCAAAAAGCAAAAAATATCATCTGGATCATGGGGTCTTGCAACCTGATGCTGAGCCAGCTGCATGGAAAGCTTCATCAATGCACTTTTTATCTCATTATTGTTGGATGTGCTTTTTCTCTTGGACAATGCAAGCTGCATCTGCAAACACTTTATAATAGAGTCTCTTAACTGCCAGGGACTGGGATGGGAGCAGTTCTAACTGAGATCTTTCTGCAGAAGGGAGCAATTACTCTGCGATTTTAACTTCTTTGCGGAGTCTAAATAGTGCAGAAGGTGTGGCAGGAAGGGAGGAGCAGTTGACAAAATGTGTCTTGCTTGTGGTTTATTTTAAAGAACATTCTTACTAAACCTTGGTAGCCCAAACTCTGCGGCCACTGGCCCTGGATCCTTCCTTCTCTTGTCATCTCCTCAGTCTACACTGTTGTGGCTGGTTGCAGTGTATGAGATGGGGAAAGGGAGGCAGTGCCTGACACTGTGCTGCCAGTCATCTGCCTGCAGCAGAATGGAGGGTGAAAATACCGTGTGGCTCTTAGCAGCAGGGAGGTGCACTCAGCAACTCCCCCACCTCCACTGAAGGAAGGCAGTGGCCATGAGTTGTCTAATGTTTTTATATATTATTTGAATCATTATAACACTTAGACACACTAATCATAAATCAAAAGCACAGAAAAATGAAGATGACCCCTGTGTCCAAAGAGCAGCGTGGTGGGGCAGGATGAAGAATGCACCTGTGCTGGAGGAGAGGAAGAGACCTAAATATGGGCCAGTCATGTCAGTCCTCTTCACACAAGGATCATGAAACAGGCTTGTAACAATTACAAGATTTAAAAAATAGTAAATTTAATGATCTCATTATTGTATCCAGACTTTCTGGCTTTTAGAGTTTCCATTTATTTCTCAGCAAATGGAAGGATTATAAACTTTTTGTGCTAAAGTAGATAATCTCCCTTAATAGCATGAATCTATAAGCTGCGACATGCAGAGAAATATTAGTTATTTGACCCTCACAGTAAATTTGCAAAGTTGACAATTCTGATGGATGTAATGGGAAGAGAAGATGATAACATGTTTTAATGTGGTGCATATGGGTAGGTAATTTAGGGAGTATAGAGAACAGGAGCAAGAAGAGGTCAGGCAGTGTGGGTGTAACTAAGGGAGAAAGCAATCAAGGCAAGCAGAAAAGCAAACAAAGCGAAGAAAATAGTGTTAATGTTTGACTGGCACTCAAGGCTCTACAAAAATCAGTGTTTTCTCTCTCTCTCTCTCTCCTTTTTTTCCTTTTAAATTTGTTATTTAACAAAGCTTTTGAAAACAACAGCAGCAAAAATAATAGCTCCCAGAACTACCGTATTTACCCACAGCACTTGGTAACCCTTTTCTGTTGATTTTCAACCAAATTTAAACCAGAAATTGTGTTAGCTCTTGTGAAGACATGAAGCCTGTCAATTTGCTGAATATACATTGTATAATTTGGGTTATTTTTTTTATTAAAACAAGTGCTTGTTTATGTACTCTTTATGTCTTCTAAAATGTTTTATTAGCTTCTTCAAAGAGCTTCTGATATGATGTATTCCCCTTATGGTGTTCAGTAATTGGTTTTAGAATGAATAATTTTGGATTTTTGTATTTGCTGCTGTATCTGGTGCTTATTGTTTCAGGGATAAAATTGTTAAAGGTAGAATGCTTTTCAAAATGCACCTTCTCTGAGATTTTCAGTAACAACACAAAGAGCCTAGGATTTTCTTAATCTTTCTTTGCTTTTAAACTCTGCTAGTGCTTTTAGCTATGAATATGTCAATTTTTCTCTTTGTTTATGTGACATTTCCTTCAATATATATGTGTTCTGACAGGTTTTTCCTTTTTTTAAGATGTTTTCATATGGTCATGAGGAAATGCTTTAGCTGCAAGTGTCTGCTTCATCCTGGGATCCCAGTGGTTGAATGATTCAATTTTTGTAGTTTCTTTGTAAATCTGAACAGTGGGTGATGTCATCCACTTCTGAAACTGAACACTCCCTGTGTGAACAGCTTTGAACTACAGATTTGATTTAGGAATGTTGCTGCTAAGCTTCAAAAGACACTGCTCTGTCCAGCTGCAAGTTTGACTTTTATAGGTTTTGTGCAAGGCTGATGAGAGCTTTGTTTATCCAGGCCTTACTTAATTCCAGTTTGGTGTTTCAGGGATGTTGTTGTGTTAAAAGCCTGCAGAGTCTGCTCTTTCTTATGCAACCATTAAAGAGCAACCTCCATACATTTCTTTTAAATTAGCCCCCCCTACATAATCTCTAAAGAAATAAACAAACTTAAGACTTTAATGAAGGTGGTAAATAAGTAAATACCTTTTTAAGCCCTCATTAAATTAGAGCTCTCGGTTAATGATGAAATTTGTAGATAAGTGTCCACTAACAATTGTCAATTCTACTCCCACTTGTTTGCTCTTCTGCCATATTACAGCATTGCTAAGACCTTCCCCCTTCAGGTGGTTTAGAAATCATATGAAGTGTTTTTCTTCCTTGTTTTTATTCAGAACCCTTTCTCATGGTACATTTTCTCTCTTTAAACTGTATTCATAACTTTATCTTGTTCAAAAGAAGGATAAATACCGTGTGTGTTCTTTCACTGTGACTCATCCATGGGATTGCTCTTCTTTCTTCATCTTCTCCCACCCCACGCTTCCTTTCAGAAGGGAGAAAGAAACAAGAAAATGTTGATAAAAGAGAAAGTGGATGTCTATGTAGCTTTCAGTGAGACAAATCCCCTATGACAAGTCAGTTAAATGACTGCTGGAAGTGCTCTGGAGATGCTGCCCAGGTCACTGGATACTACTTTGTGTCCTCCGTTTTGCTCCAGAGTGACCCATGCCATGGTGCAGGGGAGTGTCATGGGAAGCAATAAGCTGAACAGCCAGAGGCAGTAGGGCCTGAAGTTACCAAGACAGCCCTCACTGCAACGGGAACATTTACAGTCACGTTGGTTGGGGTGTATTTAAATTTGGGACCTTGGGACCTTCCTGCACTTTGGCATCCGGACACATGGCCCTGAAGGCAAGGCAAACCTCCTGAAGGCTGGATTCATGCCCTCCCCCTGCTTCCTGCTTTAGCAGCAATGTGATCTGAAGTGACATGAAAGAGGAAACTCTAGATTGAAATGTTCTGCTAAAAAAAGTCTTTTAAAAGGTGGCATGAAACATCTGCTGCTGGAAGATGGCAAGCCAGTCGTGAGGAGAGGTCCCCTTAACACCAATGCTTTCCCATTTAACAAGAATCTCAAGGACCAAGGCATTTGGTCTGTGTGTACTGTTTGTGGCCTTTTGTTGGCTGGGCAGAAGGCAGCCTGCAGGAGGTGGTATTTAAAGTCTGGTGCATGATATTTTTATGAAGTGAATAAATGAGTAAAACACAATTTTGCTCACCATGCCGACTTGATCCCTGGTTTCAGAGGCTTTTTGAATGACATATTCCAGCACTGCCTGATTTTCATTAGAAGGCAAGTTTTGGATACACCTTTTAAAAGAGAAAAGCCCTCTGATTTATTCCTTCATTGCTCATACAGAACATGGATTTACCTTTGTCTTTGTATTCAGATATATGCTTTTGCACTTGATCCAAAGCCAAGGCAAATATCAAACAATATGAACCAGATGAATCTACCAGAAGGCAATAGATACTCTCTTCTAGAGTTAGTGAGAAAGATTATGAAGTTCATCATGTGTTCAGATAAAAGTTTTTCCTTAAAAGTAACAATGTTTTAGAATTTCCTTCCTTAGAAAAGTTAACCTAAGTGCTGGAATTATAAATAGTTCAACATACACAGCTAATTTCTGTTTGAGTGGCTTAGTTTTGGTTTGTTGTTATCCTGATTTATGAAATATTGGGCATTGTGGCTAATGGTAATGAGGCTGTGTAAGCTTAACCATGTTGAGGGTCTTTTGAGGCAAGGAAGAACTAAAAAGGAAAAAAAAAAATCCCTTTTCCCACAACTAAAGCTGAGAAAAAAATAATTTTTGAAGGAGATTGTTTGAGGTGGTTTAATCACTTTATCAGACATTCATGTGGGAATAGAGAAAAAAGGAGAAGGGAAAAATCCATGTATTTATGTAATGCAGAGCGTGGTAAATTATAATGGATGTTGCATAGGCTCAGATATCAGGTGTCTGACTAACATTCATGAAAGCAGCGTAATTCAGACTGAACTTTATTCTCCTCCATTATGCCCAGCTGTTGGAAAGAAGCAACCATGTGTGCATAGTCTCCAGATGTTTGATGGTCACGCACAAAGGGGGCAAAGGAGGGAGATACACTATTTGTTCAGTTTTTTATTTTCAGAATCTGAATTCAGTTCTTCAGCATGTTTTATGGAATTTTTGTGATGGAATTGCTTTTAATGCTGTTGTCTCAATAGTTTCATATTGCTCATTTCCTCTTATGTATGTTGTCATTCCCCCTTTTTCTTTTGAACAAGAAGAAAAGAGAGTGACAGTGGTGGCAGACAGGCATTTAATTATACTTTCTAGCACTAGCACTATCCCCAGGAAAAGACTGTACTAGAGAGAGGTTCCTCAGTGTCTCGTGGGAAGTTTCTGGTGGAATCAAAAATAGACCTGGGGGCTCTGGTGACAATCTAGCATGGCATGAGTGACACGTGGACTTGATGGTGGGAAGACAGCTGAGTGGGAAGTTTGATTCTGACTTCTCGCTTTGGGGGAAAAATTCACAAGTGATTTGTTTTATAAATTTTACGATTTAATAATATTAGATTTTTTTTGGTTAAAACCCACAGTTTTGATGTTAGATATAAATTGGATGATTCTCAGTGAGGAGATTATTATTGCTAGTCAAACAGTTCTGGTTTATTTGATTACTCAGATGAATCATATGGTTTTGGTTCTGTTTTCTTTTTATAAATCCTTCAGCACCAGTAATCACATATGACAATCTTAAAATTTTAGTAAAATTGGATACATAAAACTTATTTTGAAACTAACATAAGACAGTCACAGGTGTGGCTAAACTGAGCTTCTTTAAACATTGTTTAAAGATTTATGAATAAGGCAATTGCCTTCAATAAGTGTCTTTGTAGTTTGAATTCTCTGTGCCTTTTTTAAGTGCTATGTGTTCATATTAGACATATTTGTTCTGGTGAAAGGTGAAATACAAAGAGCAGTTCAATAAGGAAATGAAGACTCACCAGTATAATCCTCTCGACAGTGCTTCCTTCAAGCAAGCAAAGATTGCATCCACCTTGGCAAGTGATGTAAGTTAATTGGCTTTGTATTTTACATGCATTTACATCCTGAATAACCTAACATTTGTTCACAGGTAGAAATATTTTTTTTTCATCTTATGAATTACTCTGAGCTGCAGTTTCTGCTGTACAGTGTGTAGCAAGTACAGCATGTTGTCCGTTTCTTCCTCCACTTTTGACAGAGGACCTACAGAGTTTTTTACCATTTTAGATGAGATTCATCTTGCTTAATTTTGTGTGTCAAAAGACACGACCGCTTACTCTGAGCTAATTGCCTTGTGCTTGGTACCTTTGTGTTCAGGAAAGAAATAAACAGGTCTAGAGGGAAATTCTTTTCACCTGTTGTAGGTGCCTATCTTTAGATGAGTGAAGGAGGTTGAATGAGCAGTTCAAATTTGGATGTCTGTCTTTTAGACTTCATTCTGCTGGTTGATCTTCTCAGTAGTACAGCAGACACTATCTTGAGCAAGGAGTGTCTGCTGCTGGAGCCAGGCTGGAGAAAATATCTATATGGAGTGATAATATTATTGGGATGATATATTTAAAAGTGTGTCTAATGCTAAAAATGTGCATTCTTCTTTGAAGCTGTGATCCCAGATAGCCAAGAGACAAGCCTTCATTCTGTAGTCTGGCATTTCCAAAGTGTGGGGCACCATGCAATGGGAACAGGAGAGATTAGCTCTGGGAAGGTTGCAATAGAATATGTAATTGTTTCCAAAATTCATGAGTAGTAAAAAAAATAATTGAATTAATTATTATTGTAAGAAATGTGCAAATTAAATATCCTAGATTTAGAGTCTGCCTAAATTAGTGAAGAACATATTCTTCACTAAATTAGTGAAGATTACATATGTGGAGGTATTAGTTTAAAAGATTTTTCATCCAATATAGGTAAGGTGGCTAGTTTTTTTCCCATAAAAGGTAGGCATCCAGCTATCACAAGTATGAAAAATCCTACTGTAGGCTGATAGGAAGTTTTTTTCTCCTACTTCATTAAGTGATTATCTTTTACCTTATGTCACCATATTGCTTATATTTGCTGAAAGCAATCTGCATTAGATAAAAGATCCAGGAACACTTCCCTTTTACTGCTATATATACAACCTTTTAAATTAGACAGTTAGTGTAATGCCTGAAGCAGAGGAAGAAGAATAAGAATTAGTGGTGTTTAAAATGAATAGACTCAAAGTGTTGAGGAAGATCATCTTGATTTAAGTGGAGGTGAGAGGGGAGGGGAAAGGAAAAACAAACAAACAAAAAAGGTTCTAGTCTGAAAAATCGTACAAAATGCGATTTTGTTGAAAGCGTCCTTTTTGGATGAAAAGTCTTAGTAGTTTGTAAGTACTTACTCAGCAGAATGAATCCTATATTTTTTTCTTTTCTTCCAAATAGTAGTAGATCACCACCATCTAGTGGCTGATAGAGATTGTTCAGGCAAGCACTTAATGCTTTCTATTTCTGAACGGCCACACTGTAAGACAAACCTGTGAAATATTTTGTTAATCTTTAGTTTGCATAACCTGAATTCTCTTCCCAGGTGAATTACAAGAAAGATTTGGAAAACCTACATGATCCAGCATCTGATCTACCAAACCTGCTATATTTAAACCACGCTTTAAATATCAGCAAAACGCACAGCGATGTAAGTTGCCTTTTTAAGAATGATCTTAAAGATAAATGTAGTAAGGAATGTAGTATGTATAGTCACTGTAGGAAAAAAAAATTGGTGCTTGCTTCATGGTCTTATATGTAGTGAACTATAGTATTGTAACTGTAGTAGATGAGGGAGGAAAAGCAGGTTTTTAGGAAGACATATTTCAGTTACTAGAACAAACAATATACTATGGAAGAATCACACAGACTTCTGATGTTAAGTGTTTATTCTTATGTGTCTGAAACCTTGTCCTGAAACCTTTTTTCCTTTGTACTAAGATACTTCTTTCCTTGCAAATCTTGTGTGGTCTAAAATCTTGCTTTCATCTGTAAATGCCTGTACAGAAGTGGCCATTATGCTAGTTTAATATTTGGACTTCTTTCATGAACAGCCTCTCGAGTGCTACTCTCTCTTACAGTTTCTCTGTCTAAACCTTTTTTCCCTCCTAAATGTCTGAGGCTTCCCACACCAGGTCAGAATAGGCACATGCTGCATTCTGCCACGTAACGAGACAAGGCCCTTGATGGGGCTGGTGAGCTGATGTGTGATAGTGGTGGGGGTTGAAGTAGGAAGGAGGAGCTAGGAAATCCCTGACTTCTGTGCCATGATAAAGCTTCTCTCCCACTCCAAGAGCACCTATGCTGCATGAGTGGTGCCTGTAGGCTGGTTAACTGCACTTGTCATCTTTTGCTCCAGAAACCATGGAAGTCCTGCAGAACTTCTGTGGAGAGGCATGAGTGGGTAGTGTTGGGAAGGAAGATTGCTCCACAGTGGCAGGAGTTAAATAGATTTCAAGGCAGGTTTTTCATCTTATCTCTGATGAGGTAGGAACCTGGACATTCCCTTAAGCAGATCACATCTTGCAAAATTTATTTATTTCTTTTGCCCAGGAAGGGTTGATTCATACTGTCCATGTGCTCATCTGAGGACTCCGTAATACTGAGTCTCTGATTTTTACATTGTCCAGATGCTAGTAGGTATTTTTTCTTGCTACAAGCAGGAAGCAGAATGCTTTGCTAATCCTTAATCTCTCCACTAACTATTTGTCTTCTGCAGAAATCCTGTTTTCACAGTGCTTCTCAGATTTGACCCCCCCCATGTCATCACTTGGATTTTAAAATGGTTTACTCTTCTACCATTCTTCCTGCTTTTCCAATACCTTCCTTGTGTTCTCCTCCTTGTCTCTCCACAGCTCATACCAAATATGTTTTGAAATCTGCTTCCATTTTATGAAACAGTCTTCCTTGCTGTACTGTTGACTGATTTCCAAAGACTGATCATATGGTCTGGTTTTTTTCCCTCTGAAACGCAGAGCTGCTTGCTAATTGTCCAATTTTGCTGTTTCCCTGTAATATACCTTTCTCCGTTGAACTTTGTTCTTCCCTTTATCTTTTGCATAACGTAGCTACACCTGCACTGGTGTGACAGATTGAAACCTGTATGGTTAATTAAACTCATAAATTAGTATGGTTGATTGAATGAATGGGTTTACTGATTGGCCTAGAGTGTAGGAGTGTGTGCAAAACTTTATGAAGCACATATACTGTAATACCAATGCAAGGCTGTTATACAAGTCAACTTTCACGGAAATAAATTCCAGCAGTTAAGAGGAAAGCTTGATGGGTGTTTCTGGACGCAGATAGCCTGATTTTGACAGGTTGAACTCATCCTGTTTTTATTATTTTGATAAGGAAGAGAATTCACAAGGTGGAATTTTCCCCTCATATGGAATTGTCCTGGTTTCAGTTGGGATAGAGTTACTTTTCTTCCTAGTAGCTGGCATAGTGCTGTGTTTTGGATTTAGGATGAAAATAATGTTGATAACATATTGGTTGTTAACCAAACACTGATGTTTGATTATTGCTGAGCAGTGCTTACCCTAAGCCAAGAACTTTTCAGCTTCTCATGCAGCCCTGTCATTGAGGTGTCTGGGAGTGCATGAGACGCTGAGAGAGGATGCAGCCAGGACAGCTGACCCGCACTGGCCAAAGGGATATCCCACACAATATGGTGTCATACTCAGCATATGAACTTGGGAGCTTCTGCTTGGGAACAGGCTCAACATTGATCAGTCAGTGATGAACAATTTTCATTTGCATCACTTGTTTTTTCTTGATTTTTTAAAATATCTCCTAATTTTTTTTTTCTTATATTTACTATTTATTATGAGAATGATGAAATTTTATTTCAATTACTAAACTGTTCTTATCTCAAACTATGAGTTTTCTTACTTTTACCCTTCTGATTCTCTCCCCCATCCCATTGGGCAAAGTGTGTAAGCAGCAGTGTGAGGCTTAGTTGCTGGCTGTGGTTAAACCATGGCAGGTATACATGTAGCATAAGCTATGGAGGCATAAAATGTAACACTTTGATGTATGTATAACAGCTAGTTTATTGCTTTTCGCATTCTAAATCTGTGCCTTTTATAGAGACTTTGAGATGCTAATGAACTACAGGCTAAAAAAAGGTGAACTTAGATATATTTCATGTTATGGAACAGAGTGAATAAATAGAACTTAAGAGACTGAATCTAGTGCTTGTACCTTAATGTAGCAATAGGTTATGAGATGTACCTAATTTGATTTTATAGAATTATTTTTTTTTTATTTTGTTCCATTATTTGAGGAATGGAGTAAAGGTATGAAATCAGTATCCATAGATGGAGGTAGTTTTCATTTGTTTCCACTACAAAAGTGATTTTGTTGTGTGACATTTATAATTCTTTCCACTAGGAGGCAAACCCAGACCGTCATATGTGTTCCTTTGCACGTCAAATGTAAACAGTAAAGTTTATTTTCTATCGAACATAAACATTTGACTTTTGGACTAACAGGACAAACATTTTCTCTAAGAATGTACAAAAGTTATTTTGTTCTTTTTTAAATTTCATCACGATATTTTAAATTCAAATTTGATTGAACTCCCGAGTTGGGAGGCCTAAAATATAGTTTCTTCTACTCACTTTCTTCCATACGTACTTTAAAAGGTATTTAAATTCAAAAACCTTCTGGATTTTGTCTGTGAAAACATTCTCGGATATCTTTTATTTCAATATGAACAAAAGAAACCATTTAAATAAAGCAAAGGCTTCTGTCGTTTCACCCTGGGTACCCCTGAACAAATCCCTCACAAAGCAAATGTGGTGCTTCAAAGTTAGGTGTATACAACCACAAACACATCTTGTAAAGAGAAAAATGCAGCATTCTAACAGTGATTAAATCAGTCTCAAAACTGCATGACAGATTACAGTGACATACAGTGCATAGTCAATCAGAAGTACTCCATGAGAAGAGAGTGTTTTTACAGGACCCAAACCTAATGCAGAAGCCTGACAGGGAAAGAGAAATTCAGACATCACTATTTTTGAAGAGAAAAATAAATTAAGATGACATTACTCATTATGAATGTAGTATTTTGATTTGTAGCTATTTGCTTTCTTTTAAGGCTTGTGTAGAATATTCCATCATACCCCACACTGATTGTTTGAGATAAGTAATGTGTTTGCCTGTCTTAATCAAAAGAGTGTGAATGAATGAGTTCAGAAGGCTCCTCCAGGTTTCCAAACAAAATGTATTTGCTTTGTGAGTTAGCATAAAGTTATAAGTTGATGTCTTAACCCTGTGTGTGATTTTACCGCTAGCTTTAAGGTCATGGTCCCCGGTAGCTTTGAGGGGAATGTTGGTGCAAGGCTGGACCCTACTGAGGAGTTAGTTTTCCTTCCCTTCTCCCTCCCACAGGTACAAACAAAAATGCATTTGAAAGTGGTGCTTCTGAACCTGAAACAAAGACCTGTGGGGCTTGGCTGTGAAACAGATTTTGTTGTTGTTACAGTAAATTTGTTGTTTTACGGAAAAGTGGTAGGGGATCCTATTAAAAAGCTGCCAACTGTTCAGACATAGGTCATTATGGCCAAAAGCACATTAGTTTAAGGATTGTGATTGATGCTCCTCACTCCTGCTGTCTTCAAAGTTCACAATTGCTAAGTTCGCCAATTTGAAGAAAAGGACTAAATGACTCCAGAAAAAAAATTACCTTATCTAGCTGCCCTGTTTCTCCAACAGGTTACATCTGGGAGGAGTCTTCCAACTCAAAACTTCTAAGGAGTATGGCTAAGACAGGATTTGTCTGTTGCTGAGGCAAGCAATCAGATCTCACATTATGTCAGCTGCTAACAGACTTTATTTTAATTTTTCTAGGTCAAGTACAAAGAGAATTATGAAAAATCTAAAGGCAGATCAATGCTGGAGTTTGTGGATACACCAATGTATCAAGTTTCAAAAGAGGCTCAAAAGATGCAAAGTGAGGTCAGTGGAAATGTGTGCTTGAAGAAGTAAAATTTAGATCAACAGAGAAGTTAGCAGACATCTTGTATTCAGGTTAAGAAAACGTATCAAGCAGAATGTAAATTGAGGATACGGTAAAATTATGCTGAGTAGTTATCTCTGCTATTCTGTAACTCAGTTCTTCCTTCAAATTTATTTTTTTCTCAGAAGGCCATTACTACTAACACTAGACAGAGGTTGTCTGTAGCATCGTTTAATTGAGAAGAAGCACGAGAGGTCATCTATATCAGAGATTACTAATTTTTTAACTTTTCCCTTTAATTCCATCATTAGTGAGGGATGGTTTTCGCATGTGAGCAAGTGAAACCACAGAACCCAGGCCAACCCCATGCCTTAACTGAAACATGCTACCCAATAATGGGGAAGTCTTCCCAGGCTCCAGAACAGCATTGGCTGTCCATTGTCAGGCCATGCTTTTCTGACTTTTTAAAAAAATCTCTTCAAATGATGGAGATTTTGTGACCTCCCAGGCAATCTAGTCCAGTGCTTCACCATCCATCCTGAGCAGGAGTATTTTCCTGTGTCCCCCATGCTGCAGTTTGATTCCATTATTTTTACTGTGTCATGGAAAACAGATGATCTCTTTCTCTTGGTAGAAACTTTAATGAGCTTCATATGCTATTTGTCTTCTCTTTTCCCTACCAAGCAAACCATTTCTTTCATAGTTCAAGTTCAGCATTCTCTTCAGAAATAGCACACACGTATTTTTGTCTATATTGTCTCTGTCTTGTATAGATAATCTAGATAATGAAATGAGTAATGAAGTTGCTTATTAGTGTGATGACTAATTTATGACATGGTTAATTTCTGGGTCTGTTTACAGTGTTCTTTCTGAAATATGCTTGGAACTGCATATGTATGTACCACTAATTGTTGGTTTTGCTTCAATAGAAAATGTATCGCAAAGATTTTGAAGAAGGGATTAAGGGAAGGCCCTCACTGGATTTAGATAAGACCCCAGAATTCTTGCATATAAAGCAAGTCACTAACCTTCTGAAAGAGGTAAAAGACTTTTATGTATTTTTTGCTGTTGTTAAGTTGTAAATAAGCAATAAGCAGCATTACTACAAGCTCGTGAGTGCTGAATAGCTTAAAGTTAACTTGGTAGCTGAATACAAGTCACTTCATGAGTAAAAATTGCTTCACATCAATTTTTATTCTGAATAGTCGTGTAGTAAGGAAATTATAAAGCTCAGCGCAGCTGAACCAGAAAAACAGAGTTTTTAGAGAGATGAAGGGGTGGAAAGGAGGATTTCTGTTGGCGCCCAGATGGCAGTTTTTCCTTTTGAGTAATTATGTCACATTTGTGATAGTCTGTTGTGGTTATACGGATGCCTTGAGCTGTGTATGGTCCCTTTTAACTAATTTAACTGAAATAATTAGCTATCATACACTATCAATTCAAAATTGGTTTCGTGTTAGGTTTTGAGAATTGGTTGGTTCTGTAGATATGGTTACTGTTTCACCAAATTCGGAAGAGCTAGAACTGCTAGAAGAGAAGAGCAGAGCTGATAGAAATCCTCCCTTTGAATCTGGGAACCAACAGTAACGTGCCTGTATTTATTGTACTAGGAATTGATTTTTTTTGCCAAAACAAATTAAAGATGCTAGAATTGAAAACCTTTGAACCTTGTTCCTTTCCTTGTTCTTTATACAACTTATCCCAGTCTGCTAGACTTCATATGGATAAAGAAAAAAATTTCTTTTCATATTTTCTTTATTATTCATCTTCTAATAAATAATTTATTCTGATAAACCTGGCTGTCAGGTAAGCAAGTCTCAAGCTGGGTCTAGTTTGTGCAGTACCATTCTATGCATACGTCTCATGTATACCTACTCACTAGGGAAAAATGCAAATGCTGTCATTTTGTTTAATCTGGTTGCTGAATGCTCACAGAAGTGGTTATTGCATGCATAGTTTTAATGTGCTATAAATGTCTATCTTTGAAAATTTTGATGTATCTTCCCTCCACAGTGCTATATGCATTAAGATGTTCCCTAATTCTTATCTCTTCAAGTTTTATGACTCATTACTTAGGGAATAAACCATGCTTGTAAGCCAAAGGGGAAGAATATAAGAAAATGGGAATGGTATTTTAATGCAAAACTGAATGAATTTTGTATGGTTTTATATCCATATTAAAGGAACATATTCCAAACCCAAAGATTACATAGGTCAAATTAATTATTATCTTTCACAATTAAGCAAAATTATGTATTTCTTCATAGTCAAGGATGTAGCTCAGTATCTTTGCATTAAGGTTGGTAATAAACTTTGAATAGATAATGCATGAAACAAGAAGTTACTGAAAAACAGATCTGTTTTTCAATTATTTTTTTCTTTTTTTTTTTTCCTAAGTGTTGGCTGTGTTCCAGCTTATTCTGTTGCCTTTCCACTTTAGATAATTCTGTACATATTTTCTATTTTGCAACAATATGAACTTTTTTCTCTGGAACCACATTCACAACTTCTTCAGAAAAGACAGATGAACTAAATAGTTCTAAATTAATAGAAGTTGTTTCCTGCTTGTTGTAGGGCATGCTTATGATGATAAAAGAAACTTCTTTAAAAATACCTGTTTTCCTTTTATTTAGATAAAGAGCTTATGGAGAGATAAAGGTGCTCACTGCTGCTTATGAAATGTAATACATAATTAGGAGTATTAATTCATGTCTGTGTAGATCTCTCTGATATAGATTTTCTTCAATGTTCTTCTAGTTTCTTTGCTTAAAAAAGCCTAATCATCACCTGGAGATGGAGCAATTAAAAATCCTTAAAGACTTAAAAACCTTGAACTTCAGTAGGCTTACATCAGCTCTCCTGGAGCTGGGAAGAAGAAAAATAACGAAATGTCTGTGGGCAGGTTTTAGTGTGCTTTGAATTTTATATTCAACATTTGAGTACTCTGGAGGCTGCAGCTGCTGAATGCTGATAGATCATATGAGTGCAGTGTCTAAAAGGCACAGGAGTGATATGGTAGGAATATCGCTTCTACATTATAATTTATCAAGTGATTGTTTTAACAGGTCCTAGTGTGTTGTTCAGGGAATCCATCCTGATTGGGATGCCATTAGTGGGACAGAGGTAAAAGCTGCAGCACAGCATATATTGATCTGAAGAAAGAAAATGCTACTGCAGTTAAAATGTCTGTCCAAAAGACAGTCAAGGCCCCTAAACAGTGTGCTAGTTCTGTATAGGAAGGGCTGGCTTTCAAGAACGCAACAAAATATATGATGACGTTAAAATCTTTTCACTTTTTCATTGTTCTACCTTTTGATTTCACGATATCCAATTCCATTTTAGCTCTGAAATCTGTACTACAGCTAATTCATATTTCATAGAAATTTCAAAGAGACCCTTTTAAAAAGTAGCATTTCTTTTCAAGATCTTGCATGCAGTATTAAGTGGAGAAACCTCTTTCACTATTTTCTTTTTTTTTTTTTTTTTAATCCTTAGAAAGAGTATCGAAAAGATTTGGAAGAAGGGATGAAAGGAAAAGGAATGACAGTGTTTGAAGATACACCAGATTTGATTAGAGTGAAAAATGCAGCTCAGATACTAAATGAGGTATGTTATACTAGTGAAGGTTATTAGTATCACAGAGATTTCACTTTTTACACTAAACTCAATGGAGAAGATTTTTTTTATTTATTTATTTTTACATAATCTACAATGAAATTCATAAGGCTATTTCTGTTTTGCTTTAAAATACAGTACAGCTCTGGATCAACTCAGGAGAAATATTTCAGATTTTCAGGCAATTAAAAGGTTAAAGGAGATTTTTAGTGAGGTCAGTAGATACAGCATGTATATAGATATATAGATATATATATATATATACACACACACACACACACATACGTGTTTATTTGCACACATATACATACTTAGCCGTGAAAGCCAGAGGGGTTGCCATGCACAGGGCCAATCTGACCACTGTAAAGAAGTGCAGGAATATATAGCTGTAACTTTCAGGATTATCTTTTCCTTGGTGTTTTACACAATATGAAGCTCAGGGGAAACATCTGCCATCCCACTGCTAGCAGAGAGGAGTTGAGTGATGATGTCTTCCCACAGGTTAACTTGCACTTTTTGCAAAAAACTGTGGTTTGCAGAGTAAAGAGTTGTTTTATCACATTTATGTCTGTATCAGAACGAGAAAGAGATCAAGGACTGAAAATCTTTTTGCTCTTGTTCTTGTAACTGATCAGACCATTGCATTGAGTAGAAAAATATTCTCCTTCTTTTTTCTAACTGATGTACAGCTAAAAAAATAATTATCAAGCAAGAAAAGTAAGGAACATTTTTTAATTATATGTATTTATTTGGAAAAAAACCCGTTTCCACAGGCAGAGATGAACTAGAATAGAAAAAGAGTGATTACTACTGTAGTAATAGGAATAATACTGGCTAAGAATATTTAAAAAAAAAAAAAGAGAGAAGTAGTATAATTATTGTATACAGTATTTCAGTATTACATTTGAATATATTTTGCTGATGAAGAAGGAATATATCCTTGATTGTATAAGATGAAGATGAAATATTCATTTTGTTTTCAAGTTATTGGTTATTTATAATTTATGTTGTGAGGAAAAAGCAGCAATCACAGATGAGTACTGCCACTTGCCTAATGGCTACGGTTCAGGAAAGACCTATTAAATGAATAAATTACAACCTCCTGCTCTGGAAGTTCACTGGAAGCAATTCTGTATGGTATTAAATTTCTAACATGTAGTCTTTTCATAAATAAAATATTTTCTTAAAAGAAAATGTGTTTCAATTAGGCTGGAATCAAGTACCTGCTTATTACACTATGTTCTGAAGAGCTAAACTCCCCCTCTACTTTAGAGGATAACTGTAGCAAACTGTATGGACTGATTTCCTCCCACCTTCTGCCACATTAAAAATTCAGTGGTAGAGGTTTATACAGTCACTAAATACCTTCTAAAAGTTTTCCTCTTGTAGTTTGTTATGTTTTTTTTTTCTCACAAGAGTCTTGAGAGAGCTTAGCAAGAGTCTTGAGAGTTGTGGCCCTTAATCTAAGAGTTTTGATTGACTCTAAATCCTAAATTTCAATCTCTCTAGCAAAAAAAGAAAAAAAATTTCCTGTAAATCTCTAGATACTGTGAATATAATATATAAATTTTATCCTCACAGAGACAATACAAGAAAGACCTGGAAACTGAAATTAAAGGGAAGGGCATGGAAGTTGGTCCAGATACACCTGAGATAAGACGAGCCAAGAAAGCTTCAGAAATTGTGAGCATGGTCAGTACTGTACCTGGTGCAAGCTTTCCATGGGAAAGCATGCAACAAATTATTGTCATTGAGAATTCCAGGTGGTGACCAATCTAGACGGTAGCCATACCACAGATTTCACCAAATAGCTAATCTGTTGAGATGCATGGAGTCTGAAAGTTACATAATCAGAATGTGGGAGAAGGTTAAGACTTTCCAGAACTTTGACTTTTCCATCATCTTTTGCAACTTGTTCTTGTTCCTCATGAGTTATGCCTGGCCTGGGGTGTGCTCAATTGATGTGGGCTCTACTGCTTTTAGGTCTAAATAACGACTTATTTAGTTAGGGCCAAATGATAAAAAGAGTTAGAGAGATGCTAAAACCTCATGACCCCAGTCTTGCAAAGCACGACAGAGGGAGAAAGTCTCATCTTACCTGTGCCTGTGATTACAGCTACCAAAACTACAGATAGATGTGAAAGGCTACATCAGAGCTGAAGTGAGCAGTCTGTTAAAAGAATTTTTTAGCCTGTCAGCAGCTATGGTGTGGATGTCACGTAGATAGATTCTACAAAACTGGTACTGTTGAATCAATAGTTATTTGGTGTTTTCTGAATGCTGCTCAGTGGAATTGCACAAATTGAATTGGGAAAAAAAATAAGAATTTGGCTGTCAGATATATTTCCAATGCTATTCTTTTCAGAAAGAATACAAGAAAGACTTGGAGAATGAAATTAAAGGAAAGGGAATGGAAGTGAGCACAGATACCCTTGATATACAACGAGCCAAAAAAGCTTCTGAAATTGTCAGCCAGGTGAGTACACAATTAGTCGTTTTAAGATTACTTGGGAAGTAACACACAATGAGATGTTAAAAACATAAAATCTTCTTGAACATTCTTAGTCTAAAAGATGTAAGTAGTGCATAAAAAAAATAAAAATTAAAGAAATTGAAGAGTTTATTTTTAAAGTCTGACCAGTATTATCAGAATAGCTTTGAAGACAGCATGTGTGGAGAACTGTAGTACTACTTATAGGTTTCTTTCACTTTTATTTTGTATTCAGAAAGAATATAAAAAGGATCTAGAGACTTAAATTATAAGAAAAGGAATGCAATTTGGTCGATACACTCCAAAAATACAATGGGTCAAAAGGGCTTCAGAAATAGCAAGCCAGGTAGACATAGTCAAAGGGTGAATGTTTTAATTCTGTGTGAGATTGAGTACTTGACATACATTGCTCAAAATGCTTCTTCTGTAGCTTTGTAGAGGCTTTCATATCTATACTAAATTAATTTACATGTAGTAAAATGTCTTAACTACCTGATTATTATTTATATCCAGGGCTGTTATACCATGAAAATTGGATTTACTTGTTTACATCTATCCGTAGTTCTTTTTACTTTACGTAATGATATGTTACATATATCCTGACAGTAAAGAGAAAATATATATGAAGATATATAATATATGAGGATATATATAATATATATGTATATTATATATTTTTAGTGTGGGGAACAGTGTTGGGTATCTCGCACAGGCAATAGTAAGAATATCGTGGAGGAGAGAGGTTGAAATAAATACTAGACAGGGATGCGGAGGCTCATCAGCAATAGGCATCTTTTGTTACACTTTGGATATCCTCAGCCCAAAAAGCAAGAAATAGACATTTAAAAATTATTTTCCAGAAAATGTACAAAGATGAAGCAGAAAAGATGCTCTGTAACTATTCTACTGTCCCTGACACTCCTGAGATGGAGAGGATAAGAAATACTCAGAAAAACATCAGTTCAGTGAGTAATAGTGCTTCTCTCTTTGCCTGTAACTTTTTAGATATTTTTCATTTTAAATAGGCTCTCTTGTACCACAGCATGAAATAGGGAACTTATGAGTAAAAGTCCTTCGAGCCATTTGTATAATTTTCCTGGCAAAAACTGTATCACTCATTTATTTCAGTAAAAAAAAAAAAATACTCAGCTTTTCTAGGTGGGACACTATTATTTTGAATTTCTAAACTACTTATACTACCTTGCCAAGCCACAGTTATTTTTAAATGAAGATTTTTTTTTTTCTTTTTCCATCAGGCCCCAGGAAGTACTTTATTTAAAAGCGAAAAAAGTCTAGGGCTTCTTAATGTGCATATAAGATTTTTCATCTGTTTTCTATCAAATGTACTGTACATCAAGATTTGGTTATAAAATTAGAACAGATTGGGTTTCATAAATATATATATCTAATGATTTTATGTTACATTGGGTATATTTTTAAATTTTATGCTAGATTTAAGTTTCAGTGTATTCCTAAATATAAATTATGAGCTTAGGTTTCTAAAATTGCCCAGTTTGGGATGTATTAAGTTCCACTTCCTTTTTGGGCCCATTAATTCTACTGTTTGTAATTCTGCCTTTGCTTGTAGTATAACAGAGAAGAGGAGTAAATCTAGCTTCCAGAACAAAAGACCAGTTAGTGGCTGTATTTTATGGTAGGCTAAGTAATACTAATAAGACCAATGATTTGAGGGAAAGGAATATAAGTTACTTAAATATTTTACTGCTATCTGACGCAGATGTTGTTCTTTAACTTAAAGATATCTGCAGCTTCTCCAACTCTCAGAAGTATGAGCTCAGTTAGTTTCTCTCAGAGCTGTTTGCCTGCAGCTATCCTGTATAGCTGTGGCATCAGCAGCAAGTAAGAGACTGCCAGGAAAGCAGAGAAGATAACTGTCTGAGGCTTCTCTAGGTGGTGGTCATTCCTGTAATGTCTTCCAACCATTATCTGCTCTTTTTCTTCCTTTGGATGAGGACAGCTGAAAGCTACATCTTTCACAGATTCACAGAATACACCAGGTTGGAAGGGACCCACATGGATCCTTGAGTCCAGCTCCTGGCCCTGCACAGGACCATCCCCAAGAGTCACACGATGTGCCTGAGAGTATTGTCCAAACGCTTCTTGAACTCTGTCAGGTTTGGTGCTGTGACCACTTCTCTGGGGAGCCCAACCATCCTCTGGGTGAAGAACCTCTTTCTAATGTACTTTCCCAGACGCAACTTCAGGCCATTCCCTCGGGTCCTGTCACTGGTCACCACAGAAAAGAGATCAGTGCCTGCCCCTCCTCTTCCCCTCATGAAGAAGTTGTAACTGCAATGAGGTCTCCCCTCAGGCTGAACACACCAAGTGACCTCCGCCACTCCTCATATGGCTTCCCCTCAAGGCCCTTCACCATCTTCATTGCCCTCCTTTGGATGCTCTCTAGGAGCTTAATATCTTTCTTATATTGAGGTGCCCAAAACTGCACACAATATTCAAGGTGAGGCCACTCCAGTGCAGAGGAGACTGGGACAATCCCCTCCCTCGACTAGCTGGCGATGCTTTGCCTGATGCTTCCCAGGACACGGTTGACCCTCCTGCCTGCCAGGACACTGCTGACTCATAGTAAACCTTCTGTCTACCAGGAGCCCCAGATCCCTTTCTGTGGCAGTGCTTTCTAATAGGAGCTCTTGGCAGACTCACTGACTCCATTTTGTTTCTTTCCATCCGTTGCCTCCTGGTTTTGAATGGTGCTCTGCTGGATGGTGTGATGGTGATTATCACCATTTCTTATGTCCCTGGCATCCTAATATGCTACACTGAAACTCCCTGTAACAGAGGGGATCCAAGTGAGTCTCTGTGATCTGCTTTCCTGCTCCAGCCTTTCATAGATGAAGTCTTCAAATAGAAGACCTCAGTGGGTCTGGCAGTGGGGACTCACAGTTAGGTACCTTTCACTACTTAACTAACTTAAATCATCATCATCATCATCATGGCTAGGCTTCGCGAACAAAGATTTGAACTTAGCTAACTTATATAAACTTAAATAAACACTACTAGTTTAAATAAACTCTCACTACTTAATTAAGCCTCGACAAACCCCTGATATATGTGAACCCCTTGCAGCCCTCTAAGGCCAGTTTGAGCCTTCAGTGCCAATGCTGACAGTCATCCTCTTCGTTAATGTACTATAATGTACTATACTACTAGATAATATGAAATGAAATGTTTTGTCTTTGAGGTGATTTGTGCTTTATTTTGTGATTGTCCGTTTTCTGTTTCTGAACTGGATCCTCCAAGTGTAGGAAAGCAGTTTATAGCTGTGATTGGATTATCTTTTTTTTTCTTCTCTTTCTCTATGTCCTTATCTTCCATCATTCTGTGCTGTTTAGATTATAAAGGTAGTTTACTTTTTATTGAGTTAAGATATAGCTGGGAGCAGCCTCAATATAAAAAAAATAATGACTCAGTAGTCTCCTGATTTTTGGATTTTGTCTCAAGTATTTTCCTGCCTTAAGAGACAAAAGAAGTGACTAACTCTATAGGTAAGATCATTGCTGCTTTTAGCTCTCTAGCTCATTTGGCAGATGATTTACAATAGGATATTTACTTCTCAGTCATCTCTTTCATAGAAAAATTCCTGTCTCCAACATATTTTACCAATTCCTACTTGGTAGAAAAGTTCAGTCCATGACATAAACCTTTCTACCTGACATGTTGCTGCAGAAGAACTTTCACATTCTTACTCATAAACTGTCTCTGTTCTCACGCGGTAAAACAAAATTCTAAATTGTTAAAGTTTTTCTGAATATTTAAAAATTAGTTGTGGACATTCACTCTCCTCCAGAACATTTGGCAGTAGTGTTCACCCTAGGTTACAGAGGACTTCAACAAAGTAGGAGAAATGTATCAGGAACGATGTTTTTATTGTTTAAGGTTTATTGATAGGAGAAGTTAAATAAATCTTGGTTTAAGAAAGGTGGAAATACTAAATGGTAGAGATTTATTTTATGAACTCCAGGATCAGACTTGTTTTTTACACTACTCAGCCTGGAAATACTTACTGGAATGGCAACAGCTGTGACACCAAATACTGAAATTCAAGTAAAACTTCTTTAGGAGTTTTGCAATGTGAACTGGTGCTCCATGGTTATTTAAACTATAGCCACACTTGGAATCTGTGGAGGAGTTATTTACTGTCTCCTTCAGTAACTTTGAATGACTGATATTACTGATGCAGTTTGTGTTTTATCCTTTACTGAAACAATTGAAATAAACAACATGTGTATCTGAAATAGGGAGGAGAAATATATAAACAGCATGTGTATCTTTTCAGAAGTGAGCTTTGTTTTTAGATGCAGTCCTCAGCTTTCTGGCTTGAACCCAGAAGTCAAAAATTGCGTGACTTGGATTGTAGCCCTGGCTGTTTTGGTTATTTTGTCATGAATATGACAACATTTTCTAGTTTGTGAAATCAGAAACAATAGTAATATCTGTTCACTTCTCACAGTATTTTAACAGTATTTTAAGATCGGAAGATTAAAAATCCCAAATCAAATTGTGATGTATATGCACGTTCAATTGAAATGAATGAAATTATTCAAGTAAAAAGTTACATTTGTAAAAGTTTATAGATTATGATTTAAATTTTAATATTATTTCCAAGGTTAAAACTGCCATTACAAATACTTAAAAATGCTGAAGTCAGTCTAAGGATGAGAATATATTATCTAGGTTACAGTTGAAAACAATGTTATCGCAGTTATTGATAATTGGTATGATTTATGAAAAATTAAAGTATTTGCTTTCCTAGCAAGATTTATAGTCAGACCAATTTGGAACTTGGAAAATTGCCCAACCCTTTTATGAGAACTTGTACTGGCATTGCTAACAGTCTTATAATTACTTTTTCTTTTGGGGAAATGAAGGTATTTTATAAGAAGGAAGTAGGAGCTGGCACAGCTGTAAAAGAGACTCCAGAGATCGAAAGAGTAAAGAAAAATCAACAGAATATTAGTGCGGTAAGTGCTATTAACATTAATATTCTTATGTGAGTAAATGGTGAACAATTTTTTTTTCATCTTGTTTACTAACAGTTCTACATTTTTGTATTATGCATCTCATTCCAATGAGATATATATTTTAGAGAATATAGGGTTTTTGGTATAGAGCTCTATTCTAGTAGAGATAGAGCTCATCTCTAATGTAGTTCTTCAATGTCCAAAGGTAGAGCTTCTAATTGAAGCGTTAGAAAAAATAGGAAAAACTTTTAATGAAATATTTGAGGAAGGTGTTTTGTCTTTCAAGGGTGAGAAACAGGAGACGTATCTCCTGATATGACAGACTGAACAGCAGTTGCATTTGCAATTTAGAAAAATACCATATGACAGAAAAGAAAATCTCTAACATTCTGGTAGAGTTTGCAAGTATCACGTAGGACTTGATACAGTTTGCACATCAAGAAGAGGAAAATTATAGCCAGACCTGAGCTATGAGAAAAGGTGGGGAGTTTGTGCCTCTTTACATGCTGATGACAAGTTGATTTGTGGATCTTAGATTGGTTTTGAATTGATGTTGTTTATCTGTGGATGCCCCATGTCTTTGGCACTTTAATGAGCAACTAAAAATAAAATATAAAAGTGAGTTTTTTCTTCAAGTAGAACATTCTCTTCTGAAAAATAAAAACTTGGAAAAAAGCATAAAAATGACTGCCAATCAAGAAAACCCTTTTAACTGCATTGTTCACTTGTTTCTTATATTTGGTGTGGACTCCTCTGGGGCCATTTTTATATTTGTGACATGATTAGATTTTTTTTAAGAGTTTGAAAGTAATATATAAATGTGACACTGAATTGTGTTTAAATATTAATTGAAATCTAAATTAGGGCCTCTGGACACCTATTCTACTAGAATTTCCTTGGTTGCTGAGCAATGTTAAACACTGCATATTTCCCTAAAGTAAGGTCAGGTAGGGAGTCTCCATAAAATTCTGAAAAGCTTGTGTTTTGCTTGAAAGTTTTCTCTGCTCCATCGATCACTTTTCATCTTATCGTTGTGAGTCACAGTGCAAGCTATCATGTGTCCTAAATCCTGAAATAGTGGTTTTGATTGGGAAGCTGTTGGTTTATTTCATTTGAGGGTGATTTTTAATTTTTTTTTTCTCTCCTTTGATTGTTTGGTGTTTTTTTTTTTTTTATTTCCAGTTACCACAGGAGTTTATTTTAAGAGTAGTCACACACACAGTCACACACATACAAACACACACACACACTTATTAGGAGTGGTCTTGCTCCAGTGTTTTTTCACACTTTCAAAGTGAAATGAAAAATACTGTACAGTGTTCTTGCTGTTTTAGAAGTCCTAAACAAAACAAGGGTGAAAAGAGGAAAATAAAAGGTTGATCAGCATGCTAGTAAACACACTTGAACAAAAACATACCAAGAGAAACACAAAATGCATTAGTGCTGTAGTAGTATAATGGAAGGAGCATGGTCTTTACATAGATAGTTAATGTTTTACAAAAGGTATTTTATTACATGTAGTGTACTTGAAATTACTTAAGTCTTATATAATATTTATTAAAAGTGTAGAATGCCAAATTTAAAGACAATGTGCAAGAATGTTTCAAATTATATGTCAGCAAGAGGGAAATTATATTGTGCAGTAAGAGGGAAATTATATTGCGTAATTTACAGGGGTCCCAAAGGGAGGGTAAATTACACCAATTTTGAATCCATTAGATTTAAACATTTTACATATATATTTGAATTTAGCCAGAGGAACTTAGGACAGCTTTATAACTACTTTCTGAGCTAAATGAAACTATGGAACGTGAAGCAAATTTGCAGTGAAAGAAACCCCAGAACACCAAACCAAAATAACATTCACTGTACAACCAACCACACAAAAAAGTCTGTTGAAACATGTTCTGAAAGTGGTCAGATTTTTCCAGATTACATATATAGGAGACAAAGATCAGAAAGGTCTGTTTTCACATCCTAAAAAACAAGGTGGTGACAGCCAAGGAGGTTGACCTCATCTCACCTGTTGTGATGATTAGTTTGGAAGAAGCAGCCTTCTAAACAGTTGGAGTCAAGATCTCACAGAACTTTCAAAGCAAGCAACAGACCCCTGGACTGTAGCTGAATCTGAGCTGAAAAGCTACAAATAGCTAAGGAATTTTAAAAAATATATTTATATTGAGAGGCAGAGAGGGCTGGACACAGCCCTGGGAAGAAGGCTTTCAGAAGAAGATTCTATTTTTGTTTTTGTTTGTGTGAAATCCATGAGGAAACCCCTCTGGTATGTCAGTCAACACCACAAAGCTGGGGTCTGATTAAAACTCAAGTAATGGACATTTTGAAGCATTTTAAGGACTACTAGCACTGCCAATTCTTAAACTTACCTAATAGTTTCTATTAAAAGATCCTTTTTTCCCCAGTGCTTTAGTATTTTTGCCAGTCCTAAACTGTCTGGACTGAAATTTTCCATTCCTGCTCTGTGCTTTGGGCTGGTTTGGTTTTATTTATTTATAAATTTCAGCCAAAGCAGCTGCAGCTTCCAAGTATGAGCTTAGAGAAAAACAAGTTGTTTTGTCTGTGTTAAGAAATGGGGCACTCTCCAGAAGTACCATGTCTTGGAAAAGAAAGTTGAAAATTAAATGTTGCAAAGCAACAATAGATATGACAGCATCTTCAAAGGCATCATCTGTCTGAACATCTATATTCTCACTTATGTGTCAGCATATGTTTTTAGAGAACACATTCGTAAAATGCTGGATTTCTAAGATGGACTGGTAGACTCCATAGCAAGATAACAGCAAGACCAAGTTGTCAAAGTGATGCAAGTCTCCAAGTAGTATATGCAGCATCCCAATTATCGTGAAGAAAGCCACAATCCTGTGTGATGAATATTCCCGCTGTGTTTTAGGACACTAGGCTTGTTGTATGCACTTTCTATGCATTGCATCAAACAAGATGCATTAGAGACCCTAGCAGCCTGTTTCAGATATTAAATATAACTGTTCCTTTTCAGGTCGGTGGTGTTTGTAGATGGGGTCTAACTGTGCAATATGTGTAAGGGAGAGATTCTAAACTGTCGTGTTTTAGTACTTATCGGTATCTTCTCTAAATTGCTAATATTTTGTAACATCTATTCTGCAGATTAAATACAAGGAAGAAATTCAGCATGCAACAACTATTTCTGATCCACCGGAACTAAGGAGGGTTAAGGAAAACCAGAAGAATATTAGCAATGTGTGCCCCATTTTCATTGCTTGCACACTTTTCTCTACTCTGTTAAATGTGTTTGTGTCTCAGTGAATATGTCTGTGGTGTTTGTTCTAGTTCTCTTTGTCCACAAAGACTAATTTAATTAATGGTAAAATTATAACTTCTTAGCCTTACACTTTGAATAATAACAATGAGAGTGAAGTATTCCTGTTGACATATCACTTGTGTGCGTATGAGATAGAACTGCAAGAGGATGAGCATTAAGTATCGTGTGGAAAGATGTGGGTGATTATTAAGGAATGGTATTTTCCATCCAAATACAGTGTGCTCTTTAATGATGTCTAGCACACTGTTGTATTTCTATTACTCAGAAGTCTCTGTTGTAATATCTTCTGACATGTTTGCCAGGTCCAATACAAAGAACAGCTCTGCAAAGCTACACCCGTGAGTGTCACCCCTGAGATGGAGAGAGTCAAGAGGAATCAAGAGAATGTCAGCATGGGAAGTTACTCTCGTTTAGTCCTTTGTATAATTTTGGGGTGCACAGGATGAGTACAAAGTTCTGCCTTCTGGTTTGGGAAACGACGCATAAAGCTTCACGTATTTGATTAAAGAAATAGCTGCAATGCTTTGAGATCCTTGAGATGCTATTCTCTGTCTTGGATATTTGCAGGAAATCTTGACTTTTTTTTTTTTTTTTTTTTTTTTTTTTTTTTTTTTTTTTTTTTTTTTTTTTTTTTTTTTTTTTTTTTTTTTAAACAGTCTCTGTTTTACTTTTCTTTGCTTTATAAAAAATTAGCTACAGTGGTACTCAAACTTCTGCTCTTTAATCTATCTCCTTCTGGTTCCTTAGTGACCGTCCTATCAGAGTTTAGTATTTAATAGCTGACATAACCATTAGAAAGATTTGCAGGAGCACAGAGAAGGCAGCAAGGACTTTTGGAGTGTGCTACTGCCTTCCTGTATTGATGAAGTTGTACCCTGTTAATGAGCCTTTGAGAGCCAGGCCGTTCTCACTGGGAGCTGCCATCAGCAGCCATATTTAATGGGTCTACAAATAGCTACAGTTTTTCACTGGGGTGTTTTCTGCCACATCCACCAAAATTAATTTGAGTTAGAATTCTCAAGAATTCTGTCCCTCTAAGTTAACTCCTGGATTTTTTTTCTTTTTTAATAGATCTAGCTCCTCTTAAATGTATTCTGTTCAAACAAACCTGTTTTCCCAAGTGATTCAAGCCAGTCTCTATAGTTTTTCCACTTACATCATCATTTGCTTTTCACCAGTTTCTGTGTTATGCAAATTTCAGTGGAAAGCCTAAATTATTTTCTGGTCACTGGAATAGCTTTGAATGAAGATTCTTAAAACTTCAGCTATTTCTGGAAACATTAATTATTGAATAATCAGTTTACCTTTAAAAGTGCCATTTTGCAATCTTAGTCCATTTGAAAGCTTACCATCATTTTTTTCAAGACAATAATTTTTCAACTGGAATATATTGATGTGAACAGACCAAAACTGTGTTGTGTTGGAAGACAATTGCTTGAGCAATAAATGTATTACTGCCACAGAGCACTGCAGAATTATGAGAATAATGTATATGCACAGTTATCATATGAACCCAAGAGCTTATTAAAAAAAAGTGTTGTATGGAAACATTAATTTTACATAAAACTATATGGATTGGCATAAATCTCTTGCCGGAATCTCTTACTAAAAGTTTACTACATCTGACTTCCCAGCATTTGGGGCCAGGGTTAACGTTAGGCTGATTGGTCCATCAATGCCACATCTTTTATCCGCTTTAGATGCTGATCTGGCCTTGAGTGTGCATTTGGTTAATGCATCATTGCTACAAGTGTGTTTTGTTAAAAAGTGATAAAGGGGATATTCCTACAGTGCATTTAAATAAATGCATGGTGAAATTTATTCTGGATTCAATTGGCAGTTGTCTGATGTATTGCACCCTCTGTGTTTAATCACCTTTGAATATGTAGAGTATAAAATTTAGAACATGGATGGAAACCTTATGGAGTCGCTGAGTCTTGACAAATATACATTTGCAGGGGACCTTGCTGAAATTCTGTTTTTTGTTGCTCTGTTTGACTTTACCTCATTATTTGTGGCCTAACCCCATTCCAAATATGAGATATTTCTCTGCACATCCAAGGACTAGTCTGGTAAACATCAGGATGTTGTGTGCATATGTGTATATATATCCACATAAATACATTAATAAGCACTCTTTACTGAAAAAAATATTAAGGTTATATTTCAAAAATCAAGTTTTATAAACTTTAATAATGCATTTTAGCTTTTCAGTTCTTTCCTGGATAACTTTTTAAATCATGCATTTTAATGTAAAACAATGGGATATTGCTTTAGCTGAAATAGTGTGTACCATTTTGTTCTGTTAAACAATAGGTTCACTACAGAGAGCAGCCTGGCAAAGCTACTGCTGTGAGTGTCACTCCTGAGATAGAGAGGGTCAGGAAGAATCAAGATAACATCAGCTCGGCAAGTTGTTTGAATCATTTTGTCATTTAGATTTTCAATCATTGTGGAAATATAATGTGGATATGCTTTTCCATTTACATTTGAGATGTAAAAGGAATCTAACTGCATCATTCAATTAAAAGATATTGTTTTTATTCTTTGAGTACACGCACTTGCATGTATGTGCAACAAACATATTCAGACTTGCCTGATTATTTTTGCAAATAAGTCACTAGTTGTGTTGGTGCCAGTAGTTCTCAAGGTGAGAGTCACTATAGGTCAGTCATTCTTTCAAGAATCTTTGTCTCTTGTTACTGAATTTTCATTGCTAGATTGCAGGAGTGAATTGCGGGAAAGAACAAATTTTAAACAAAAATTTAACTTCAGTGCAAATTTCTTGGGTTTTGTTTGCAATTCAAAGCATGGAAGCATCCATACCACTCTGTGACATGCCATCTATGTTAGAGCTGAGTAGTTCTGAATATGTCCTATTGCTAAATACTAAAGAGTAAAATAATATATATTTCTTGGCTTTTATGATAATAAAATTTAATTGCCACTACAGTGGTGTAAGAATCAGGAGACAGTTCTATTAAGGAACAATAAAGAATTCAAAACAGCGTGGTGAAGTAAAGGATCAGACTAGTTACATTACAATCTGTGTCCTCAGCACTGGAACAGCATCAGTGACGAAGGTGTTGCAGATGGTGAACAGAAGAGGTTTCATGCAGAACCATGTGTCAAGGTGGCAGAAGAGAACTGAAAGTAGTGAACTTTTTAGAACTGAGTGTAGGAGGGAAAAATAAAGTAGGTTGAATTTGTCAGATGATTTGTCTAAGGACGAACAGAATCTAGCATTATAACTACACATATCTTAAGTACTTTCTTAAAATGGTCATGAATATTTACCAAAATCAATTCATTTTGAGGTGCATAGTTAAAAATAAGAGGAAAACTTCACAAAAATTCTAGACTTTTAAATTATTTTTTATTTTGTGAAAATGAAATACTTTTCACCAAGTGACTCCTTCAATTTGTTTTTCAAGCATTACAGGCATAAATACTCCTCTGTGTCAATGAATGTGATGAAAACCAAGCTATGTTGGCTGTGATTATTCTGTCCAGGAAATATCTTATATTCAAAGGCATATGTAGCTGAATATATTTTCTAATCCACTTGTAAGAGTTGAATTCGCATAGATTCTCAGGTAATCCCATCCAGGGATGGGAGGACAAACTCTGGGTCTTCTGGTTAATAAGAAGATAGCTTATCATCAGCCATGCAAATATGTTTTAAAGATGTCCAAAGGTGTTTTCTTATTATTTGTCTTATTTTTCAGTTGATGAATTAATTATTTCACTTATGTAATTTAAACAGGCACACATTTCAGCTTTTGGATCAATACTTTCTTTTGAGTTAGTGATTGACAGAATAAATGTGCCTTTTGGCCTTACAAATGTACTAGCTCATCTGTATCCCCCCTGTAAAATAACCTACCAGCAAATGAGTGTAAAGAGAAACAGGAAAACTGTAAGCATTGTGATTTGGGAAGGGTACTGTTGCATGGTGTGATTCTCACCATTCTTTCTATTGTAAACAAAAAATTCACCTGTGCTGTTGTTGCTGTTTTGCAGGTCAAGTACAGCAGTGATCAGAGGCAGATGAAAGGTAGACGTAGTGTGCTTCTAGACACACCTGAGCTAAGGCATGTCAAAGAAACTCAAAACAACATCTCAATGGTAGGGTACTTTCCTCCTATAACTAGAGCATACTAAGGAATGGCACTTGACTTCCACTGGATTTTGCCTTCCATTAATATAGGTAACTAATGAAACTCTCTCCTCAAGTATGGAAAGAATATTTTCTTCTTATGCCTGTAGAGGGGGTGTTTGCTAACTGCATATGACTGTAATGAACATTTTCAAAATACTAATAAACAGTTTTCTAACAGTTAAATGTCTGTTCTTTTTTTTTTTTTTCCTTAAAAATGTACACACCTCATTTGAGCATCACAGTTTCACTGGATTAGGTGACACACTTCACCTTGTGCCTGTGCACGTTCCTGGTTTCTGTGTGGCTTTGGTTCTTGGAATGAGTTGTTTTGTGTGCATTGGCTTGTGTGAGAATGTTTGTCAATTTAAATCTTTGATGATTAAGATTATTTAAAAAGTAAATATGCATAATCAGCAGTACTACCTTTATAACTCTTACTAATATACTGGGGTTTTGTTCCAACACTTGGTGCTGTAACACTTTCTACTTCAATGTCCTTATTTGTAATTTTTTTTCTTTGAAAATCAGGCTGTTGTTCGTTCTAAAAACCTATGTTTAAAGCCAGCTGGCATATTATAAAACAAAAGAGAAAAAAAATACCTTTCTTATGAAACTGTGCATGTAGTCGAAGTTCTCAGTGAATGAAGATGTTTGAGTTCTTTAGAACTATTACTTCTGGAACATTTTTACTAACAGATGTAGTTGTCTCCATCAATAGAGAGCTATCTTATTTTAGAGAAGAAGGGAATGGACCAGATGACCCCCTGAGGCCAGGTTTTTTTGTGTCCCATAAGATGACGCTTTGCAGCTTGAGCTAATGCCTAATTTAGTGTCAATAGAAAAGAAAAGCAACATTGATGACAAAATATCAGGAAATCAGGTTAGGGTGATTGAAAAGACTTGGCTGGCGATCCAGTCTGTCTCGTGTGTGTACCAATTCTATTTTGGTGCAAAGTTAAAGAATAGAAGTGCCTCATAAAACAAACATATGCATTCCTGCATAGAATAACCATTTGCTGTCAGTTGCAGCTTAGGGAAAAATTTAATTCTTCCTGTTTTCCTAGGTAAAATACCATGAAGATTTTGAGAAGACAAAAGGCAGAGGCTTCACCCCAGTGGTAGATGATCCTATAACAGAGCGTGTACGGAAAAACACCCAAATCGTGAGTGATGCAGCATATAAAGGTGTGCATCCACATATTGTTGAAATGGATAGAAGACCTGGAATAATTGTTGGTAAGTTGTTAAATCGTGTTGCTGTTGAAAGCACTGTTGCTAATAAAAGCCTCTGCTTGTGTTCTCCAGATTTCTTTTTCACTCTTTTCTCAGCATGAAACTTGTGGTTGAACTACTGGTTCCATGTCAGCTTCCAGTGAAATAATAATGGGAATGGGTGTGTTTTTTTTTTTTTTTTTTTTTGTTATGGGTAGTCTGCTATTACTTTAAATCTGAATGTTGACTTTATAAGGAAAGCAAAAATATATGCAATAATCTTAATTTTGCACAGAAGAAAGATTATTAAAACTGCGATTCTGCAAGATTGCAATGTTTACATGTTACAGGCCTATTTGAAATGTCCCCTTCTGTCAGTCGTCAGTAATTTCTCCAGAGCTGTACATGTCCGTTTACCTCTTGTTTCAGAATTTCACACAGCTTTAAAAATATCTCAAGGTGGGATTCATCAATTACTCATTAGATCTCTGGTAAGCCAAGAACCAGTGTTCAGAAGTAGTGTTTTAAAAGGTGGTGCAAGATATGATCGGGTGTTCAAGGGTAGAATGCAGGTTAGATTTGTATGTAAAGACAGGGTATTACATTAAGATATTATTTATGATATTCATAATGAACTCTAAAAATCAAAGTGGATATTTGGAATCGATTAAAGTTAGCAAGTCTACTATGGCAAAGGAAATGGCAGCCTGACTTTTTTTTTTCTCATTTCCTTTTCTTTTGGTGTGTCTCTTTTTTCCTGTGCTTTACAACCATGTAGACCCCAGAGGATCTATGTATGGAAAAACATGCTGAGATAGCACTCTAAAATCCTTCGTACATAGTAATAACAGCGAGGTTGACTTTACCTTGCAAAACCCAGAGAAAAATGCAGGTAAAATGGACTAATTGGTGGGTCATAGAGTCCGTCCTCCTGCCTAAAGCAAGGTTAACCATATAATTCCTGGCTGATGCTTTTTAGTCTTTTCCTTAAAGTCTCCAAATACTCTCCCCCATAGCTAGAAGTGGTGCAGCCAAAGAGAGAAAAGCTCCTGCAAAAGTGCGGTGTAATGTGCAGTTTGCAATATGTTGTTTGGTGCACACTTCAAACCTCCTACTCCATCCTGCATTGCATGTGTGCTGTAGCCCTGTGTAAGAGTTGTGTGCAATCCTATGTTCAGCAGTTGAAGGCTTGCTAACACAAGTATATTGTGATTAAGAACATCCCTGAGATAAATTCTTGAACTGTAAGTAGCTGAAATGCTAGTACTCTTTATCACCTTAAAATACTCCTGTATCAAAGCACACAGAAATTCTTAATCCTCCATACCTGCCAAACAGCAAAAAATAGTACAATTATTTAAAGGAAAAAGTCTCTGACAAACCTGTGATATTTCAGCTAATGCTTTTTTAGAGAACTGCAATTATAATATCTACTTGTTTAAAAAGAAGCAGTGAGCTCTTTGCTCGTGGAATGTCCTTGGCAGCTCAGAAAAAATTGTAAACTGAAAAACGCAACTATGACTCTTATGAGTTTTCTTCCTAGCTGATAATTGTTCATCCAGTTAGTTAGTACCTCTGTACCTAGAGTGCCTCTGATTGATTTTTAATGTATTATTGGTGAAGCTGTAACAATTTTCAGATGCCTGATTGCTGAAGTTAGTGTCTTGGCTTTGGCAAATAGGCAGTAGTTTTAACCATGCTAAAGCTGTTATAAACCCATCAAGATAAATTGGTATAACTGAGCTTTGGATCTGTTACTAAAGAGGATCCACAATTCTCACATTAGTATAAAGATATTTTAATGTGGCAAAAGTAACCAGGGAGTTAAAATTGATTAGTGTTATAAATTGACAAAATTCTGATTCTATGTATGTTATTTCGGGTTACAGAGATGGATCAAATCAATCCAAATCAATGGCTATTGCACTGGTGCTGCCATGAAGCCATACTTATTACATTTTTTACTTACTAAGGCATGCAAACAGGAAAAGTTGGGCATTCACCAATTCCCCCAGCCCTCTCATGCCTGTCAGTGCTTTATGCTTTATGCATAATTTATCACCATTAGGACTAACACATAGTTTATCAGAAGACTTTGTGTTGGCTTTAATTCATCTTGGCAGGAAGGAGTTAGCACTACACCTTGCCTTATGGGAGTTGCAGTAGATAATGTATAATGTACATACACTGAATGTATTCTAAAGCTGTGGGATTTATTTTATTAGCTCTGTCTGTTCTTTCCATTGCATCTAGGCTATTAATCATTTGAAACATGACATATTTGGGGTTCTCACAGTCTTACTTTACCTATCAACCCATTTTTTATCTTGCTACCACTCAAACCAGCAAAAGGAAAAAGCTGGAAAGACAATTTTTTTCCCTCTTCAAATGCATTGAGTAAATGTTTCAGATAGATCTACCCCAGAAGAAAACCCCCAGTAAAAAGGTGTTATCTCATAGATTTGTGCTTTGACTTATTGTAGTTTACATAAAGATTTTATTTGAAACGGAGATGAAGAGATTAAATAATTATTTCATAGAATCATTTAGATTGGAAAAGAACTTTAGGATCATCCAGTCCAACAATTAACCCAGCACTGCCAAGCCCACAACTAAACCATGTTCCCAAGCATCATGTCAGCACATTTTAAAATATCTCCAGAGATGGTGACTCAACCACTTCCCTGGGCAGCCTGTTCCTGTGCTTGATAACCTTTCCAGTGAAGAATTTTTTTCTAACATCCAACCTAAAGCTCCTGTGGAACAACTTGGGGCTGTTTTCTCTCATGCTGTCACTTGTTACCTGGGAGAAGAGACCTACTCCTGCCTTGCTGCAATCTCCTTTCAGGCAGTTGTAAAAAGTATAAGGTCTCCCTTGAGCCTTCTTTTCTCCGGCTTGAACACTCCCAGCTTCCTCAGCTGCTTCTCATCAGACTTGTGCTCCAGACCTGTCACTGTTTTTGTTGCCCTTCTCTACACTTCCATGTCCTTGTGGTGAGGGGCCCAAAACTGAACATGGTTCTCAAGGTGTGGCCTCACCAGTGCCCAGTACAGAGGGACAATCCCTGCCCTGGTCCTGCTGGCCACACCACTTTTGATACAGGCCAGGATGCCATTGGCCTTGGCCACCTGGGAACACTGCTGGCTCATGTTCAGCCACTGTTGACCAGCACCCCCAGATCTTTTTCCACTGGGCAGCTTTCCAGCCCCTGCCTGTAGCACTGCACATGGATGTTGTGACCCAAGGGCAGGACCTGGCACCCGGCATTGTTGAACCCCTTACTACTGACCTTGGCCCATCAATCCAGCCTGTCCAGATCCCTCTGTAGAGACTTCCTACCCTCAAGCATATGAACACTTCTGCCCATATGAATTGTATATATTAAATTGATGTGAGTAGATCATGAATTTATACTGTACTTGTCTCTGCATTTATTATAAGCCTCCTCTTAAGTTGTACAATGCTGTAATTATTTGTTAAAAGTTTATTAAAACATGGTTGAATCTGTATTTGCTTTTCTGCTGTGATTTTAACCTAAAGTCTAATATGAAATTAATTATTCCCTATGGACTCTTTATTCTTTCAATATCCTGTTGAGATGTGATTTTGAGAGATCTTAGTAACTTGCATATATGAATTGAAGCTGAAGGTTTTACGACTATCACTGTTATTGAACTCATACATAGAATTCCAGAAATGCTTTTCAGTAGTGGAGTAGTGGATCAACTATAAGTCTGCATCCCAGGAAATAGATATTTAGAAGAAAGAGGAAATTATTAGTTAAGATCAAGAGTGGGCTTCATTTTACCAATCTACCCTGTAGATATCTACAAGGTAGATTTTTACAGCTGAATTTGTCTCCTCAGACCATTTTTTTGTATTAATTAAGAAAGATCAATACTTTTGAATTTATATAAATTGAGCAATTAGCAGAAATTTATTTTGGATAAGGGGAACCATGGCCCTGATTCTGCTTGTTAGGCTGGCATGATCTCTGCTGTATGCAAAGGAGGATCTGTGGTGTCTCTGTCAGCTGTATACTGCCAGCTCTCAGTTTCAGAGGTATATACTGCAGCATCTCCATGGAGTAAGGGTGCTGTTGGTGAACTGGGAAAATACCCTTGTAGCTCTGATTTTTTTGGTTCTGCTACTGGTAAAGAGCTCTGGTATGTGATACTTAACTTGTTTCCATTTATTTAGACTTAAGAAAGTACTATGGTCATGTTTAGAAAAAGGAAATTAATTGAGAGCAAAAGTCTCCATAAAATAGTGTCAAAGCTTAAAATGAATGCACCAAGTTCTTTTAAGCAGGAAATTAATGCTTTCTGATAGTTTCATGTGACTATCTAGATATTTTGGTTAATTTCTAGATGAAGAAAATTGATTGCCGATTGCTAAAAATCATTCCTTTCATGCTTGTTGTTTGTCTGTCTTATAATTTCTGTGATTTGGAAAAAGATCTTAAAGTTTGGCGCACAGATCCTGGCTCCATCTTCGACATTGATCCTCTGGAGGACAATATTCAATCTAGGAGTCTGCATATGCTTTCTGGTATTGCTTATATCCTGAATTTTCCACGCTCTTTATGTTCTTGAAACTAAGTTGATACAGTAAATTTTCAGGTCAATGTGCCAACCATATGTTTTATAAGTGTGCTTTCATATATATTTATAACTGCAGTCATTTAAAAGCAGTGTTTTATAGGAACTTCATCTGTAATCACATGTGCAGATACAGAACAGTGAAATAAATCTTATCCTAAACAAGTTATTCATGCCACTAACAAGTAGCCACTTAAAAAGCATTGACATACTTTGTCCTCCCTATAAGCAGAATTTTCAAATAGTTGGACCTTATAAAATTTCAGTTACAGAAAGTGACCTATTTATGAAATTGGTTTTTTATGCATGTTTTGCCTATATGGCATATAATATTATGCTTTGTGCTATTATTTGCAACTCCAAGGCATTCCTAATTTAAGGATAGATGGAAAAGGAGAGAAAATAATATAATAACAGTTATT